CCCCCCCCCCCCCAACACACACACACACACCGTTATTCCACGCTCCGTTTACCTGACCAGCTCCTCGTTGTACAGGGACTTGGGAGACTCTCGTCCCAGGATGTAAACCTGACCCTTGAAGACGGACAGCTGGACTTTGCCCTCCACGTTCTCCTGGGACTTGGCTATGCAGGAGCGCACAAAGTCACACTCTGGACTGTACCAGAATCCTGCAACGGAAGAATGACTTATGAGCAGTGGAAGAAATACCTCTTTAAATTTAATTTTATACATAAGTTGATGTATTTTGACCTCTGCGAGCAAAAAATACTGTCTGAAACCAGGGGAGGAAGGTAGTACTCATTAACAGTAGTACAAATTAACTAAACCGTCTAACACACGTGTCAAACTCAAGGCCTGCAGACAAATGTGGCCCTTGTTAATATTGTATCTAGCCCCCCAAGGTATTTTAAATGCAAAATATTTTTCTCTCTTCTCATTTTGCTAAGAAAAAAATAAATACTTCATTTAGCACAGCTTTATCATGACAGCTGGTTAACGTTGAAGCCAGAAAAAAAGGTTGGATTGTTCAGTAATCTTTGATTTTAATGTGGAAAGAAAAACAGAGAGTATAATTTATGCCCCCTCTTGTAACTGAATCCGACAGCCCTAGTCTAACATTTAAAAAAATGCACATTATATTAACTTATATTATAAATTTACATTATATATATTTGCATTAATGCAAAAATATAAATACTGTATTAAATAAAGTCAAACATTTTAATATACTATGAAAATATAGGTGATATATTTCAGAAACTGAAAAAATGAGATCAAAGATAATCTTTTAGGTATAAAAAGCTTGTTATTCATGTTGTAATATCAATTATAGTTCATTTTGATATATATGTCAGTTCATTTGATCAGTTTCACTTGGTTTTCTTTCTTTATTAAAGCCAGACTGACAAATTAATGTTGAGAGCAGAGCTGACGCCAGATGTTGATGCTTCTTTATCACATAAAATGTACGGGATTGTGGATTAAGGATGAATATTGGACTGAGCAGACATAAATTATAATTAAAACTGTTTTAAGAGTTTAAAAGTTTTCCACAGTACTGCATCTTTCACACAAACATCTATGTGGATCCTTGTTTTATGAGAAGAGCTTTTCTGTTCCAGGTGAAGTTCATGCACTTTTTCCTTCTCTTTCATTTTGCGGACCTGAGCCATCAGTTTCTGGGACAGATGGGCAACGGATGTGTCTATATGTGTTCAGAGGTCAGGCACACCCCACTCAGCAGGGGTCTGCCTCTCATCAGCGGCTGACCTCCACCTCATCGTCTGCCCATGTTCAAAGACACAATGCTCGCCTGCTTTTATTCCTGCAGAATTGGCATCGACGTGTTGGACATGACAACTGAACACAGGCCCTGCAGGACTTTAGAGATACATTTAGATTTTACTTGAATTGCACGGTTCTGTTTATGTTCATGATCCTGAGTGTGTCTCTGTATTGGTGGAGTTTATTGATTAAAAAAAGACTTGTAAGATTTTTTTTTTCTTCCTTTGGAAATAGTGACAAGTACATTTAATGTAAAAGTTATGTTTCAGATTTTTTTTTTTAATTATAAACTGATCAAAACCAATAAAATAAAATAAAAAAGGCAGGAAAAAAAATCACAATTCATCACATGAATCTTAGTTGACTAAGCAGATTTTTGAGCACTTTACGTCGATCAGATTATTGCTGCATCAGGAGCTGCAGCTACTTATCATCTAAAACTGGTTTGGGGTAAATGTTGCTGGAAACAGATGCAAGGCAGGTGGATTGTTAACATAAGCCCCACTACCAACCACCTGCAATTATTAATGATTTAAAGTCACAATGGGTTTAATCTCTGCCCTGCTTTTGAAGGTAGCACCTTTATGGCTTCGTCTCTGGAGGGTATAAGTGAGGCGACCTAGCAGTCAGTCTGTAATGGCACTGATCCTATTATGTGGATGAAGGTGCAGACGACTGGAGACTTGGCAGAAAGGAGGATTAAGACACCTGAGCCTTGAAAAGCTCGCACACATGTGCAAGAACACTGAACAAGCAGGTGTGTAGCATTTATCAGTGGCATGCTTGTATAAACCACTAAAAAAAACCTCACTGACATTAACAAAGATAACGTACTTACCATTGTACACAAGTTCAGAGAACTTGATACCCAGCCCCTGTTTGATCCTGCGGACCTCTTTGTCCATGGTGAAAGTCTCAATGTCTAAATGGGCCTTCAGCAGAACTGTGCCTCCGGGAGTTTCATATATTCCTGACAAATTCAGGAAAAATAAGTCAATAAAGCCACGTTATAATACAAACCAGAACAGTCGGTGTAAAAACGATACATAATCCCTCTGTACCAAGATTACCGTCTGCTTTAAAAGCCAAAAAAAGGATGTTGTCCGTTCAACATTTGCCACTGTTTTACCTCATTATACAACTTGTTCTGTTGTAATTAATCTTTTGAGGCTACTTACAGGTATATTAACCTGTAAATAGCCGTTTATTTGAGGTAACTGCATCAAACGGATGTATTAGCCATTAGCAATGGGACTGACAGGTCTTCACGGTGCTTACAAAATGTGGACAAGTCTGTCTTGAGTAAATGACAGGTTGGGAGGCCCCTGCCAGTCTGGAGTCTGGACCGGGGCTCTTCCTACCCTGCAATTTACCTCCTCTGGACAAGGAGGGAGGGGTGATGGAAGAAAAGATGAAGTGGATGACAGGAAAAATGAAATCACTTAGGTATGAGCTAAAACAAAAGGACGGAAAATGTTGCAGGACGGGTCTGACAATAGAAAAAAATTACATATTTAAGAGTTGCAGGTAAATTTTTGGGAAGGCGAGTGCTGTTTTGCCATTTAAAACATGGTTTCTCATATCTGGGCCATGTTTTTGATTCAAGCCAAGCAGCTTAAGCTTTTGCTGCAGTCAAAACCAGTTATGATGTGGTCCTAACCTTGAAACTCCCACTTAAGATGTTAACAATGGCTGTACTTTAATTGCTTCGAATCTAGCGAGAGGTTCAAACCTGTATAACTCTCAAATAATCCAGAGTTGGATCTGAAAATATTATGCTGGTGGGCACAAAGGGAGTTTAGTGATGGTACTACAAAACTTCAAAGGAAAATAACGGCTTGTGGCCTTTTCTGTTACGACATTTTCTTTGGCTTGATCAGATAAATTCAGTTAAAACTGCCCTCCAACACAATTTGGCTTAAGAGCTGTAAAAGGAGATGTTCCTTTGATTGGACAATTCAACAGTGGCACTTTAGTTTGGCTTAAGAAGACAACCCTTTGTGGTTTTAGAGGTTTTACTCCTATACTCCTTTACTCCCCACCCACCCAGCACACACACTTTTTGCCCCACTCCCCTCAGGAAGGAGGTTAAGGAGCATTAAGTGTAGAACCACTAGACTGAGGAACAGCTTCTCTGTGAAAAACCATATCATGTTGCTGCTGATCTGTTTCATGTTGCTGCTGATCTGTTTCATGTTGCTGCTGATCTGTTTCAATGTTGATGTGTTCATGCGTGCACATCTGCTCACAGACTCATGTTCATGTTTGTGCTGATGTTCAATGTTTTATGTTATGAGTGCTTAGTGTATATTTAGTTGATGTTTTTCTTAGTTCATATCTTAGATGTTATTACTGTTTTTCTTATACATTTTATTGTCGGATGTAACTGGGACCCCGTGTACATAATTTCGCTCCACCACATGTACCACATGAGGTGCGAATGACAATAAAGAAACTCTGACTCTGACTCTGACTCCGATACCAGTTGCTGCAGGTATGCTAATGTGCTCCATTAGAGGATTGAAAGCTTCTTCAGATGATCCCCTTCTAACCCTTAGGGCAAAACAAGGGCATAAACAGGCAGATGACGTAAAATTAAAATGGAGGGAAAAATCACAACTCAAAACTGTGATTTAGCAGTGGGACCAATCTGATAACAATCTGACTCAACTTAAGCTATTTTTTTTAATCAGATAAGCTTTTGACAAGTGTTTCTGTGCCACTTTTGTGGAGTTTTACAACAGTTTTGACGTGTTCGTCAGAAGATGAAGCCACTTCGTTCCACCTGCTTTCTATTGAGGCCATCACCAGAGCACGAGTCAGAGGTCTGACAGCACTGTGACAGGTGGGAAATGTTAGTCTGGCAGAGGTTGTTCAATGTTTTGTAGCGCAGTGACAACATTCTTGACAAACCATTTCAATCCCATCCACCTCCTCGACCTCACACAGATAAATATGACCCCGCACAAATAAGTATGACATGTCCCTGTTCGTTCCCTCCCATCATCTATTGTGCTAACGCAGCTGCTGTTCCAGAAGAGACCAGCACATCCACTCAATGGTAGTTATTCAACCACTTGGCCACCTTGTGCTCCACCTCTTTGCATTGCATCGGAAGAGGAAACGGCTTTGATCTTTTGTTCAGCCAACAGCAGAGAAAAGTGGGCTTCCCATTTTCCAATTTCTACCTGTCAAGTTGCACCACAGCCGCAGCCTGCCGGGACAGTCAATTTGTCAATCATAGCACATAGTGTCGCAGGGAAAGAGCCTGTGCGTGTATGTGTGTACTCATAAGTGTGTTGTGCAGGACCTTGTGTATTTACTGTAGTAACACATGTAGAGACGTAACAAAGGAGCTTTTCAAGTTGCTTGTTGATGCCAAAGATAAACAGACAAAAACATCCAAGGAAGCACTTTTTTCTATACAGTACTCATTCTTTTGTAACTGAGTGCACAAGTGAATAGAAGTCACTTTAGCCCCTTTTCCATAGTACCTTTAATACCGGTACAGCACGGTTCGACTCGACTCGGTATGGTACACGTTGTGTTTCCATTATGCTTTCAGTACCGGTTCCAGTGGGCGGGGTTCAAATTGACGTCACGCGCCTTACCAGCTGGTGGTGGTAAGACCTTGAAACAGGTTCCAGTACAGGGTGAGAAATAATTTAGAAGTTTCTGGTAAATTAAAAAGGATACAGATTATTAAAATGATCAAATTAATCTCTCTCTCTCTACATATACATATATATATATATATATATATATATATATATATATATATATATATAGATATATATATATATCTATATATATATATCTATATATATATATCCTTCTAACGAACTTTTAATGAACTTTAGATGAACCAGATTCTACAAAAACTTCTTAAAATTGTATACGTTTTCATCATCATTTGATGTATTTGCTCTCATTGTGTCTACTTTTATTGTTCAGTGCAGATATGTGCTTTTTTTTATTTTTCACAGATATTATTTTTATTTTTAGCTTTGCTTTAAAGTTTAATTCTTGTTTTGTGATTTGTACATCTGTGGGTTAGAAAAAAGTTGAACTAAAGGTCGTAGCTCTGAGAGATCCAACAATTTTGTATATTTTTTTATGACTTTTCAGCTGAGCTAACTTTAACAGATTATTTAATAGTCATTAAAGTGAAGACAGGAAGATTTCATGATAAAGCCAGCACCGTTTATTTATCGTTTTAATCCTCACTGATAAAAAAAAAAAAAACATTACAAAAATGTTTTTAAAAATTGTTTCCACCCTCTGCCCCAGACCCGTCCCGGTCCGCCCGTCTGTCGGGATCGGGGTTCGGCCTTCATGAACACTCGAGGCCGAGGTCCGGGCAACGGCCTTCTGCGAGTCAGCACCAAATGACAATGGAAAAAGGTTTGGAAGCGTACCGAGCCAAGTCGTGCTGAAGAGGAGCTATGGAAAAGACCCATCTGACGTATTGATTCCAGGTGAACCTGAGGAAATTTTTTTTCCCAAGGAGAACGTGTTCAAGTTTCTAAAAGCAACAGAGTGAGACAACTAAAGCTCATGTAAAATAGCTGCAAATTGCATGAAAGCTCTGCTAAAAGGAAGGCTTTGGACAGGATTTAAAGTTAAAATGCAGAGACGTAAAAAAAACCCCAGATAAATGAAAAGTATTGTTTGAATAAATGAACATACATAAAGTGGTACCAACAGGAAAAAATGCAATAATAAAGACAAGAAAACTAACACACATCTTACTGTCTTACCTCGTGACTTCATACCAATAAAACGGTTCTCTACAATATCAATCCGGCCCACTCCGTGCTTTCCCCTAAAAGATAAAGACAGGTTGAATGGACACATTTAAATAAAATTATAAACATTAATTAGCTAAGTCCGAACAAAACTCTTAACATAACAGAAGAGAACAGAAAGACAATTCCAGACTCCCACAACTATTATTTTATTTTCAGAACTCTGTAAGACAAAACTATAAATTAGATCAACTAATAAGCAGTTTGATTCATTTCCAAATAAAATCTAAATGTAACCAAAGCAGCAGCTCTGACCTGCAACAGATGATAAACTCCTTTAAAAAAAAAAAAAAACAATATATGTGGACAATATAGAGCTCAAGACAAAATTACTAGGGGAAAATGTATTCTTGGAGTAAAACAATATACTGATTTGTTTGAATTCAGTGTGTTTAAAGGAGGCAGCTGAAATTAGTGACAAGCATTCAAAAAGCACAAGTTTTTAATTATCTGACTCCAAACTGATTATTTTGCTGCAACTTTTACCCTTGAAAACAAAAGCAATATGTCAAATGGTGTTTGGATTGTTTTTATTTCTTTATTTGTCACTAAAGTCAGGTTTCTGCACGTCTCTGTCATTTTAAATGAGGCTCACTAAAACATGAGTTAAAAAAAGCCTTACCCTATCTCATTGAGGTATGAGAAGATCTCCAGTGGCCTGTCTTTGGATTGCCCATCTTTCACATTGATCACCTTGACTGGCACTCCTAAAAAAATAATCATTTTAGTTTATAACTGATGCATCCATTTCTTAAAATAAGATGATCTTAGTGACTCTGGTATTATTTGAACCAGCCTTGTCCTGGAATTGCTATTTGGGTTTAACATTTCTTTGTTGTTTTTATCAAAAGTCGAGTTATTCAATCTTTGTAGAGCTTAAATTCCTAATATGTATGAAAGGCTGGTTGTTGCTCTTGAGAGTAAACCACACAAGGTTTTCACCAAGACCAGATAAACAAAAAATACCATGTTGCAAATCAATGATTTTGAAAGGAAGTGTCTCAATATTTAATTCAAGCAGGTAAAACTATTAAAAAACATGGATTCTGCTGACACGTGCTTCTTGTTTCAGTTCAAGATGAACCAACATCACCTAAAAAATGGAAACTTTTACGAAGGCGATGGTGAAAAGGCTAATAAATTCAAAGGCCCTTTGCGTTTTAAAGCTGTGAAATTGTGGACAGGCCTTTACCTTATTCAATTATACATGCAGCTTTGTTACCCGTTCTTTCTTTAACGCCAAGACTTTTTTTTTTTTGCATGGCTAACTTAAAGTGTTGTGTGCTCACGTGCGCATGGAAAAACAAAAGCACCTGCAGCAGATCCATCACCCGTCTTCCTATTACCGCGTCTCTAACACGCAGAAGATTTTTGTTTAGGAAGACACCCACGTTCACTCTGCACACTTCCTCTCTAAAGCCACTTAAACCTACAGCACATCAATCACTGTCACAGAGCTGCTTATTCATGGCCTTCAGTGACCAACACGAGCCAAAGGTTGAGGCGAGGGAACAAACAGATGTTTGAAAAGAGTTCACAAAGGTGACGCAAGGTGGAATAAAAGAAAACCGATCTATATCCATCCGAGCTGAGCTCCATAGGTACTTCAGCGTGCTTACAGTTGTCAGTCAGACGGCTTTGAGGAGAAGAAGACCACTTCTGGTCACCTTTCAAGCACTGTTTACAAATCTCCGACATGAATGAATGGCATGCGAGTGACTTGACTAATTTCTCTAGACAAAAGCTTTGTTGATGGCCCGTTTTCACGTCACGGGAATCCAGAAGACGCCCACAGAAGAAGAAAAAGTTCTTCCCAAATGAAGAGGGCAGCAGCGCTTTCTTAAAACTACACCCCCCCTCCCAGATATCTAATAATTAGATTAAAAGTTTCAATAAATTTAGTGAAAGCCCGAACGTGGGAGAGTTGTCCTTTTATCTCCGCACTCTTTTTCCTCGCTCTGTCCATGTTGCAGGTTCTATGATTCACCGAGGGGTCTTTCTCTACTCATGATCCCCCCTTTTTTCGGTTTTTGCACCCTAACAGCTCAAACAAAGGGAGTGCAGACACAGTTGTAGGAAAAATTACTGCTTTACATTTTTCCTCCTCATTTCTTCGGCATGACAGGAGGGAGGCATGAATTTTTTTTTTTGCCTTTAAAAAGGGGAGAGTAATGGGGAATAGACCGTTTGACGAGGGTAAAGGTTCCTGTTGTTATATATTCTTTTTTAATCAGTGAGAAAACTTTGGTGAGAAAGGCAGGGATGAAAAGGTGGGAGGGGGAATGAAGTGAAACATTCTTGTGCTGATCTTGTGCTCAGAGGGAGGAGTGGGCTTGGGCCTTTGTGTGGACAACTAAAACAGCTTTTGTCATAGCGTGCTCAATAAAAGGCCGAAGAATATGTGTGAAAATGGAGTTCAGGGCCGCAGAGGAACCCGCGAAACCAGTCGAGGCTTTACTAGTGCATTACTGTTTTACAAAAGCACATCACATCCCCAGCTGAACTGACACCAACCAGCTTGTTTTGTTGTTAACATTTTCTCTGGGGAAACTGGTAAAGTGATATCTAAACACGCACAAAAATGAGGTAATTTGATTTGCGCGTAGAGATCACGTACTTCCCGTGATTACAAATCTTCCCACGGCAACTTTTGGGCAAACTTTTGAACTTCTCCAGTTTTATGATTCTAGCTCATAAAGCTGCCCATCAAGCTCGGTGCGATCAGAGGAGCCAGTGTCTCCCAGCCGATTGATGTTCTTGCGCTTCAGCCTCCCCTGGTGACCAGGGATGAAGGAACATCTGTGTCACTCGCCTCAGGCGTAGATGTGTCCTGCCATTTTCTCTTTGCACAAACATGTGACACTTTCTAGTATTCAGCCCCGAAGCCTTGCGGCAACATATCTAATGAGCGCTTCTCTGGCCCCTATGGGCTTGGTGTATTAGCTGGAGTTAATGCTTCCAGTTTGTGTGTGCAGCCCCAGGCCAAACAAAGCAGTTTTGGACTGTGTAAAGCTGTGAGGGGTTAAGGTTAAGTCTGGGTGGTCAGAAGTGGTGACAAAAGTGCACGGAGTCAATCTTAAAGCTGTAGCACTTTGGTTGTGATCATCACTGTTGAGCTATAAAACGAGATCTTAATAAATACTTTGGTGTGGTAAATCTTAATATACATTGCTTTAAAGTTCATTTAAAATACACCATTTTGATAGGTTTACACTCAGAACTGCTAGCCTTCATATTGTACTTCAAAGTCAGATCATATAGTCTTGTTAATTTACTCAACAGAGTAATTTTCTCTAATTGCGCTTGATGTAAAGATAATGTAGAGCTGCTTGTTGTGCACACATGAGCACCGAAGGCAACACTAAGTAACAAAAAAGTATCTTCCATAAAGATTTTAATGTAACTTGAAAGATTTGTTTGTTGTAGTTCCATACAAACAAGTTTAATTTCAAATTATTTTCACAAACATCACCAAACAAGTAGAAAACGTTTTTCATTTCAGCTTATGAAAGCAATTCTTAGATTTGAAAGTACCGTACTTTTCACCGTATAAGTTGCACCTTTTTGCATAAATTAGCATGCCCTGTGACTTATACGGCGAAGCGACTTATTTATAACCCAATTTTTTGGCTGAGATCTGACGATTTCAATCATTCTGACATGGAAAATATTGAACTGTACCATTTTCAGCTGCAAGAGGACCCTCGAGGAATATGGAAAGCTAAGTGTCTCATTAATAGGTAAAAGTGGCTATTAATGAGACACTTGTCTTGCCATACTAGGCCACCTTCGTCTCTCCAGAACTCCTGGAGCAAACGTCCAATCAGCTGCATTTCATCGCGTCGCCCAGGCGAAATGCAGCCAATTTGACCATTGAAGTGCGGTTTGGCAGCTAATCAATTTTTGGCACAATACTGGCTCACGTTTCCAGGTGGTCAGCGGTGACGCATAATAGATGCGACTTATACGGCGAAGCGACTTATTTATGTTTTTTCCTTGGATCTATATTTTCAGGAGGTTAACCAACTGAGGCATCAATGTGTTTGATTTAAAGAGTGAACAAACCTTTCTTAAACTCAATCTCCAGCACATCTGGGTCGTTCGGAGAGTCTTCTGGGTTTTTGGTCATCAGGTACAAGTCAGCTGGAGCATGGCTCTGAAAAACAAACCAAACTACAGCTCTTCTCTTGATTCAGATTCGTTATTTCCTCTTACGAACGGAGAACCTTTGAAATGAATTCTGCACTTGTGATTTGAGAAACGGCAGCCAACTCACACATGTCGAGTAAAGAGATCAAGAGAATATGTCAAAAACAAACATCGAGAGGCGAGTGAAGACTAAATGTGCTGCTTCTATTTTCTCTATGAAGCTTTCACTGAAGTAAAAGGGAGGGAATGTCTGACAAGCAAGAACGAGATAAGAAAAAATCCTGAAATAACTCATATCCGTAAGTGCAAAAAGAGGCTTGACAAGTCAAAAAAACAACTGATACTATGACAGAATTTCTATCTTCTGTACAGCTCTAAAGCCATTTTCACTTCTAATCTTCCAGCTCTGATTTTCTGAGTGACGTCTCTCGTCTGATTCATTTTCAAATAAAGAATTCTCCTAAATGGACATTGCATCTCAAAACCAAACCCCACTAAAGTTATCCAGGGTGACAGATATTTGTCGTTTTATATTTTTCCAGTTGGTGAGAGCTGGGAGTGATTTCTGTAAGTCATGGTTTGGGACCTAAAGGAGCATAGCGGTGTGACGGAGCAACAATTACACAGCATTAGGACAAGACGATGGCCAATGTCCCCTGAGCTGAGGCAAATTGCAGGGGGACTATGCAAAATAACTACTGGGTGCATTTAAATGGAAAGCTTTACCAGACTCTAAATGATCATACAATAACTAATCGGCATCCGCTCGCCGCCTGTCAGCAAGGAGAAAAGCAGCGCAATCACTTTCCTTCCTTTTAACTAAACACAAAAATTGACTGGGAAGGCGACAATCTCCCTCTCCTTTATTTTCTGCCTCTGTGCCCTGAAAGATGCCAAATGAGAGCGAATAGGGAAGGAACAAAATGACTACTCTAAAAAGCCTATTGATGCCTACTCTTTGAGGGAGAGGGAGGGAGTGAATGACTACTTTTAGCTGGCTTTGTCAACCTTCACATAAAATATGGTATAGTGGCTTGAGCAATATATGTGGTTAGAAGTAACTTTTGTATCCTGTAAAGTTTTGGGCAGCTTAATATTCAGGTTTTTTTTTTTTTTTTTGGTTTACGATTATTTCAGCATTTTAAATTTCTAGAATTAGATGAATCATGATTTAAAATGATCATTTGCTGCAAATAAATTTATTGTTGCCTAAAAAAAAAATCTATATAAAATATCTTTTTTAAATTAACAAAACACACACAAATGGTATAACGTTTGAAAACTCATCCGTCCTCCAAAAGTGACGGTTTTAACTTATGGACTCCCAAATGAAAATAAAAGAAACACAGGGGAATGGGGTTGCTTCTAGTGAGCAGATCAATGCATTTCAATTTAAACCCCCTGCAGGTGGACCTGTCCCAGAACCATGGCCCTAAAAGAGAGGAAAAAGGTAAAGATAGAGAAGGCGGGGGGCCGCGGGTATTGGTGGGAAATGGGGCGTGAAGCGCACCATCATGTAGCGTGGAGCAGCTCCTTTGGCAGTCTTTGCTTCTGCGATATTGTTGTGCTAAACGTGCTCCATGCAAGAAGGAGACGGAAAGAGAAGGGACTTAAAGCAACTAAATTTCTGTCTTTCCACTTATTAGTTGCCTCATTGGTTTTCAATCAAAGCCAAAGGGGTCCGAGAGAGGCAGGGGTGGCAGGAGGGGAGAGGGCTGGGAGGAGATGGTGAAAACATCTCTGAAGCACCGGGTTGGAAATGATGCTTAAATCACCATGTCTCAAGTCAGTTTGTCTTATTGAAATGCAAACGTGGCAAACTGAGCCAAGAATAAAACAATATGCACATAATGTGTTGGAGAGGTGTTTATATTCACAACACCTGGAATGTCTTGGTTAATTTGAGAACGTCTGAATTTAATGAAAGCAACAGGCAGAGCTGTGGTGACACCGAAGACTCTGAGCACTTGATGAGTATTTTCAAGTCAAGCCTGTGACGCCTGAGGGCAGAGGGGGGCGCTTCACGAGTTCTGACCTCTTTGCTTCAAAGCACACATTCACATGTATACATACACCTACGAGCTCACTTCCTACCCCTGCAGGCGCATTTCGGACCATCCATCTTTCCAGCGAGCCATGCGACCAGCAGCAGCAAACAAGTTTTCATTTCCTCCCAGCGAGCAGAGGCTTTGCAGCTTTAACCCCCCGCGATCAACACGAGCAGCGGCCCTGATCAAAGTTAAGTGGGCTCAGGGAAACTCACAGACAGAGGCTATAATTAAGATTGAGGTGATGTGTTAATGACTCGGGACGTGTCAGGCTGCCTGAGGATGTCCTCTGACTGCTCATGTGAAGAGGAAAAAGAAGATGTGAAATGCTCACCGACTAACACGCTATTTATTACATTTAATGCATGTTATTATGACTTTTCTACCATATTTTATACACTTGTATTGTCCTAAACAGAAATATATGTGCTTCACAAAAATGTTTTTTTTTAAATATTTGTTAAATAATGTGTAGTTTTAATTGATATGGAGCAAAACCGACTCAAAAATAACTTGTTAAATAAAAACAAAACATTTTATTTTCTACATAATTAAATCAGTTTATTTTAGATCATAGTAGTTTTTTATATATATATATATTTAAATTTATAATTTAGGTCAAGTGAATTCAAATAAAGCAAATATATTTACCAAGAAATAATAGTTCTAGAAATTATTTTTAATCAAGACTCAAAATAGTAAAAATTTGAATCAATCCTCAAAGACTATGTTGACATGGTCCATGTTGCTTCATTGTAAATAAAAACCTATTTTATCTAGAATTTTTTTCACCTAATATTAGTTATTTTTGTTTAAATATTAATTTAATTTTATGTTATGTTATTATTATTTATAACAAACTGTTTATGCTAGTTGTCTAAACGTTTCTTAAAATATTTTTTGAAATATTTATAAAACAATAATTTCACAATATCCAAATTTATGTTTTGGAAACTTGGTTTTAAATAATTTTGACACCAAATGTTCTGCAGCCGGTGCAAAAAGTAAAATAGTTTTACAGACATTAGATTAGGCCTGTTATAACAAATTTTGCTGGGCGATTAATTATCTCAGAAATTATTGCGATAAACAATGACACTATTTGAAATTTGACAATAATTAGTAATTATTGTCAAATTTAAGAAGAAATGTTGGTTAAGTTGTTTTGAGTGTAGTGCCTTTTATGACCACCAGATGGCAGTATAAGACTGTTTGAACCGAAGGATGGATAGTGAGGGAGCGAACAGCGTGTCTCTTTAAGAAAAATGGGAGGGAGACCCCTTGACATGACATGGGCTGTCTCTCCTTAATTTTTTTCGGTTCTCAAAACGGCAAATGCTTGGTGTGGTTTGAGCTCTTTATCACAGCATTTTTCACACAGAGCTTTTAATGTAAAATCAGTAAACAAGTTCTCAACTTCTTTTTGCAGAGAAAAACAACTTTTTACACGAAGGCACGGGTTTCAACGGTGAATTTTGGAGCTTCGACAAAACGTAGTTTTTTTTCCCAAGGTCAGCCTGTTAGCTTAGCTCGTAACTTAGCTTCTCAGCTTAGCCACCTTTAACGATCCAAAAACGCGATTTTGGACGTTAAAAACAGATTTTAAAGAGAAAAGAGAAAGGGAGGGGTCAGTGAAGAGCACCGGAGTTCGAGTGTCTTCAGTGAGAGACACGAAGAAACGATAAATGAAAATGAGGTTTATTTTCATTTATCATGCGATTAATTGATTTATTGTTTATTGCGACAGGCCTACATTAGATGTTATTAAACTAACATGAACACAAAATGTCATTAAATTAACAAGAACAACAGATTCAGTGCAGTAATCAGTTGCTTTCTGATATGCATCTTAACTGAAACTGCCCTGGGTGGATATCTTCACACAGGTTAATGTAGATGAGTACCGGTAAGTTAAAGTCTCAAGGCCATCGTGGCAAAAAGGGAAACAAGGTTTGGGGGTTATCAGGAAGGATACAGTGTTAATCACAGAGTAACCTGAACTCCCCCGAGTCTTATCTGCAGGAAAACATATGAGCGACCATCGGGACGTTTCCTAATGTGATGGTACTGAGCAAAGAGGGACCATTGTATCGCAGGTGGGGGGAGCTGTGGCGTTTGAATGGTCGAGGTCTGGCCTCAGCCTTCAGGGCTGTAACTGGAGGAGAGACAACGAGCGATACACAGAGATACTCAGCACAAAGTGTCTTTATTTAGATGACCTCCAAGATGGATCAGAATCAAACTTGTTGGTTTAAGTATTTAAATTGAATTGTGGAAAATAGTTCAAAGATAATGTGTTAAGGACTGAAACCAACATCGCTTCTATTTCTGCAACTTTTATATTTGATGTCAGCCCCAAAGATGTGGTAGGTGGTCATTTTTGGACAGATAAACGGGCAAAGAAGACACAAAGTGGACTGCAACACAGTGGAAATGGGGTTGATGTAGGTGGAATTTATATTTGAATTTTTTTGAGAAGGTAAGAAGAGAAGTACTGAAGTACAAGCATATGAAAACAGGGAATGGCTGGTTTTTTTTTTAATCCAGTAGTGTTGGTAATCTTTCTACAAATTAAGAGCTATGAAAACCAAAACACTCTGATTTTGGGTGAGTATCTGATTACTGGTTTTAAATAAAGCAGAAAACCACACTACAACACAGTCATTAGCTTTCCCAGTGCCTAAACCTCAGCATTAATAAATCGGTGTGAGATGGTCATGACAGAAAGCAAAACAAATCTGCAGCAGTAATCTAAAGAAGAGCTTTGGAGTGTCCTTCAAGAGGCTCGGAGAGCTGTTTCTTTAGTTCACTTAAAGAACTTGTATCCTAAAAAAGACGGTGACGAAGAATGAAAGTGGTGAAAGTATCTACTTCAAGAACAAGAAAGTCCATGCTCAATCTACTTTATCTATCTATGCTAGATATACTATCTACTTTAAGGAACAAAGTCTGTTTTTGCCTTTTATGTACTACAGTAGTCCCTCGCTCTATCGTGGTTCGTTTTTCGCGGATTCGCTCTATCGCGGTTTTTCAAAGTAAGATTAGACATTACACACAACGACTGACTGATGGATGAGCCAGCCGCACGATCGACATGGATTTTTTAAATTTAAAATTAATTATTGAAAATGATTTAGCACCTGTGTGCAGCCCATAGCTGTGGGAGAGGCTTCCTCCTGCAGCTGATCAGCTGATCTCCGTGCAGAGCGGAGATGTGGGCGTGGCTGAAAGTGCAGCCGGAGGCAGAGAGCTGAAATCATGACATGCTGTGCTCTTTTAGAGTGTTTAGTGTTTAGAAACATTGTTTGGAATATTGCAAGAGTGTGAGAAGAGTTTAAAACACCTTTGTATATATACATATATACACAAACATATATGCACACACATACATACACAAATACATATATACACATATATATATTTATTATCTACTACCGTATTTTTCGCCATATAAGTCACACGGTTTTGCAAGTCCTGCGACTTATACACTGAAGCTACTAATATACCCCCCCCCCCCCCAATGATCTGACAATTGAATTCATACTGACATGAAAAATATTAAATATTACCATTTGCAGCCGCTAGAGGGCCCTTGAGCATTAAGGCAAGCCAAGTGTCTCATTAATATGTAAAAGTGGCTATTAATGACACATTTCGTCGTGCCGCCCAGGCAAAATTAAATTGATTTGACCATTAAAGTGAATTTATTAAGGAAAAGTTCAATTGAAACACACCTTTACTATACTGTCGAGCAAACATAATTGTTTTTAGGCGGTTATCTTGTTAAATTTTGAAGAAATGCTAGGTGAGTCCTCCCTCTGCGTGCTCCCGCAGCCACAAATCGATTTTTGAAATGCCACTGATTTGACCATCGAAGTGCATTTATTAAGGAAAAGTTAAACTGAGACACAACTTTGCTATAATTTCGAGCAAATAAATGTTTTTAGGTGTTAATCTTGTTAAATTATTTTTAAAGTCCTCTTGTGCATGCTCTTGTGGCTGCTATTTGGCAGCCAATTGATTTTTGGCACAACACTGGCCCACGTTTCTGGGTGATGCAAAATAGATGCGACTTATTTATGTTTTTTTTTTCCACTTTATTAGACATATTTGTACTGATGCGATATGTACGGTGAAAAGTACAGTACTTATTACTTGTACTACTATTCCTACTTCGCAGTTTTTCACTTATCGCGGGGCTTCAGGGTACGGATCCCCCGCGATAAACGAGGGACTACTGTATTTCCACTATTTAATTTTTGTACATTTCAATAAATTGCTGCAGAAATTTCAGAATTTTAATGTTTAATATAGAACGCTGCAAAGTTTTTAGGCATAAATGAAAAAAATACACCAACAGGTTTCCTCAAGTGGCTTTTTTTTTTTAAGTGCTAAAATCTATTATTGCAATTACAATGTTTCAACATTGGACATTCTGTCTGTGAGCTATGTTTGATTACGGTAAATAGAAGGTTTTTAACTAAAGTGGTAGTCAGACGTTTACATGCATCATTAATCTTGAGACGTTAATGTTTTTTAATCCTGAGGTTGCAGGTTAGAGCCTGGATTGCATCAGGAAGGGCATCCGGCATACAACAACAGTCATATTGTTATGTAATTTGCTTACATGACTAAGAACAAGCTGAAAACAAGAACTGAATGCACCAGTTTTAATTTATGGTAGATTCTCTATTTGCATGAAGTCTAAATTTTACACACAGATTGAAATGTTTGAACATTCACTTAAATCTAAAAAAAATGGTGCTGAAGGTTGCAGAAGGTCTTAATTCTACTAAATAATCAAGACTGTGTGATTTCTTATTAGTGATTGCGATCGACTGCAGCTGTTAGTTTCTCTTTGCCAGGGGAAACAGGATTTGATCGACAGCATTTATTGGATGGATCAATACTCATCTATCAGTCTCTGATGAAAATAAACTGGTTGGGGTGTTCCAGAAGCAAATAAAGCAGGAGGAGTACCTCCAATAACTGCAACTTCACCACAAATCAACACCTAGATGGTTGACATATAGTTGAAAAAATACAAAACTGTTTTATTCCTTGAATGAATAAAGCAGTTTAACAATAAGTTTATGGGCCGACCTTTCTAAAGTCTCAACTTCAATATCTGCAATGAATTTAAACTTGTGCATCCACTTGTTTTTAAAACCAATTAAAGTTGTGGGTATCATAGTCATTTTACTTGAACAACTCCGATAAATTATTAACAGCCTGAAATTAATATGGCATTCATGCCCATGAGGTGTGTACATAAACTTCTGACCACTGTTTTACATACACCTTAAGAAACTGTGCTTATAATACGCCATTATTTCAACTTCAACTTCAATTAACAAACATACAGGAAGATGTAATAAACAGAGAGACAAGAGGCTGTGAATATTAAAATCACTCAAATATTAAGCTTCTTTCAAAGCTCAAAATGAAACTTTGTGCTTGGTTAATGTATGCAAATCCTTTCCCCACTTCAGACCTCTGCACCATAAATATTTCATTGTATTTAATGCCTATAATCGATTCATTATTGGAGTAACGGTCCAAAGCAAAGCCTCTGAATAAAATCTGTTGTGCAATACGACCATCATACATCGCTATGCTGTTGTGATGGCTCGTCTTATTCTTTTCAATACATTTCTCCACAGGACGACTGAAGGACAGGACACTAAGAGGGCAGTAAAAGGGTGGGAAAGGGGCAGCGGTAGAGGTTTGTGAGCTACAGTGGCCCTGCCCCTGGATCTCTTATCCAGTAGCGAGGGACCCTCTTCCCTCTACAACACCCTGAGTATTGGGGACTCATCTGTCTGGCATACTGTCTTTGTACTTTACTGTTACTGGTGACATTTTGGTGTCACGGTGTCACGATGAAGTGGCTCCCCTCCCACGTCGCCGCCTGCGGCAGCACAACCACAGAAACAATGAGGTCCCGAGGAGTTGGGGTGGAACTCAGGAGGCCCCAGCTGGGCGCAACGCCCTAACCCTTCCCCCTCTCAGGCTCCCATGAAATCGGGAATTAGTCTAAGCGTTGCTGACGACAAGTCAATGTCTGTGTGTCCCAGGCTCTTCCCAGGGCCCGGCGAGGACCCAGGGTGAGGAGAGACACAGACGCAGACACATCGACCAAAGGATGGGAGCTCTGAAGGTCATTAGGGGCGACCGGTGTGTACCGCACTGACCTCCGACCTCAGTAGAGATCAGACTCATGTCTCTTTTGTGGTTCTGTGAGAAGTGCTGTTTCTCTCAAAAAGACCAATGCGTCCGCAGAAAGTGGAAAAAATACTGCAGCATCACTCCAGATGTATGAAGCGTTTCATTTCAAGAAACTTAACTGGCTCTTTGCAATGAACTGAACGTTTGTTCTGATGTAATGAAGCAGACATTAGTTTTGCATTTTAAAGCTGTTTGAGCTATTGATTTAGTCAGATAAACATGAATCAGCACTATCAACAATATAAGATAAGTACATTTATTGCAACATGATATTCAAAATAAATGCAAAAGCATTTTTATAGACATTGTTTTTCAATTTTGAGAACAGATTACTTCGCTTACCTTGGGATTCTCCAGGATTCCAGACTCATAGCTACGAATAAATATTATTTATAGATTTCTGTTAGGCTTATTTTGGAATAAAAAACAAATAAAAAAAAATATGTACCCCATCAGTCATACCCACCTTATGTGCATGAGATTGGCATCCATGCTCCAGGGTGCCCGGGGAGTAACGGGAACTGGGATGCCATGTTCCTAGTTTGACAGAAAACAAACAAATATTTCAAAGCTACATGTAAAAAAAAAAAAAAAAAAAAAAAAAAAACAAGGCCAAGAAAGTTCCCTTTGGAAGAAACAGTGAAAACTACTTTAAACAGCCCATTCTGGCATGCTGTGCAACAACAGATACCCTCTCTGATTTTGTTTTCACAGTCACAACAAACAACCAGCTTTTGTATATTTGTAGGAAACATTTTCATTCTTTTTATGCTGCATTTTTACACAAAACTGTGCAAACCAGCAGCAAACTATAGTTGACAAAACATCGAGAGCACCCTCCAGTGGACTGTTCATCAGGATCAGACGAAAACTGCACAGACAGCAAAAAATGTTTGTGGTCTAAGAAATGTAGATGAGTAAAATAAAATAAAAATATGATTGTGAAATTAGATTTAAGGTAGAAAGTAAGGGATGCAGTCAGAGTTATACGTAACAATGTGGACAAACCATATGTGGAAATAGAAATTAGGAGAATTCAACTAATTAATTCCAGGCTGAATGTTTCTGTTACGATAAAATAATCACTTATATTTGTAGCAATATGGTTTTAAGAGTATATTCTTTAAAATGCAAACTTTACGTGGCTCAGTAACCCATATTATCATAAAAACATTGCGTTTTCAGACAGCTAATTTTCATTTAAAACACAACCTTGTGCCATGTTGTTTATAGAAATGTTTATTACTTTAATATCTAAATGATAAATCAGTACTTCCATTTATCTTACTGACTTAATAATAAAAGAAAAAGTATTTTGTGCCAACAGTGCAGCTACCTGTGCATATTGCATCAGGTCCTTCCTTCCCCGGAAGCGATTGTAAAACTCGGGGATCCTCCACGGTGCGATGATCTGAAGAGCACAAATGAATAAAATAATCGATGCAGCAACAACATTTCACACTGCAAACAATCGTCTCAAGAAAAAAAGGCAGCAAAACTAACCTGAACCTTGGGGTAGAGGGCGTAGCATGTGAGCTCGAAGCGTATCTGGTCATTTCCCTGAAAGTTAGAACAGTTTTCATCTTAATGTGTCAAAATCATCTCTGACATTAACACTTTATATGGACTACATCTGCAACATTGTCAAACAAGTGAAATAAATGTTTAAAAACAACATAATTTCCCATATTTATAGCATTTAAATATACTTTTGTTCAATCTATAATGCACTTGCACTACAAAAAAAATACAAATAATTCATACATTTATTTTCAGTAATTTTAATCAATCATATCAAAATGAAAACTTGAAAATATGCAACGAGCTGGATCTTCTAGTTTCACATCCAAAAACAAAGAGAAGATTCAGCGGTGAAGTCAGTTCCGCATCCACTATTTTGTGGTGTTTGTCTCCCTCTACAGGCCAGAAGTGAACACTACATATAAACATAAAAATATGTCAAAACAAACCTTTAGAAAAATATAACATGAATTGATGTGGGTAAAAAAATATCATGAGGTATGTTTTGTCAGAATGAGTTTGAAATTTTCTGATTAAACTGTACTCATAAACATCACTAAAATAACTTAGTTTTGTTCTATAATAATAAGTGGTATTGAGAAAACATAATGAATGCAGGGATTCATTTTATCCTTCACGCATTGTGAGGAAAAAGGGAGGCAAGTGTGTGAAACATTCAAAATTGTTGACTGAACAGATGAAAATTGTAAACGCTGAATAAATCAGGAACTGGGAACACATGGTTGAGAAAGATTAATATTCAACAGCAAAAATGCAAAATCTAAGTACTGTGGTGGTCTTTTTATTATATTTTTGTGTTTGGATCAGGCACTTAGTTTTATATGGGTCAAAACTTCCGAATTCTGCCATTTACTTTCATTTAATAGCTTTACTTAGGCAGGTAAAAATGTAAAACGTTAAAAAAAAAAACACATTTTCAGTTCCATCAGCAGAATTTGGACAGTATTCTCAAACAGGGTGATGCTCTGTGAACTTGTGTTTACCTTCCCAGTGGCACCGTGGGAGACAAACTGAGCACCCTCCTTGAGCGCGATCTCAACCTGACGACGGGCGATGCAGGGCCGAGCTATCGCCGTGCCCATCAGGTATCGGTCCTCGTAGACAGCGTTGGCCTGAACTGCAGGCCAGATGAAGTCCTCCACAAACTCTGAGCGCAGATCTTCGATGAAAACCTGAACAGGAAACAGGCCTCTGTCACATGGCTGAAACCTAATATTCAAGATTCAGATAAAGTGCTGAATAAATAGGTTATGACACATGTTCAAGAAATAAGGCACAAAAAAGACCTTTTCAAATGTAAAAAAATGTTCTACACACATATAAACAGAGGAAGTAATAGACTTAATTGCAATTATATGTGGAACAAGACATCTTTTTGGCAAACGTTGAGTGAAGTTTGGACACGTGACACATGACCTGTGCTTCTGGGAAATCAAATCTACACAGAAATTAGTCATTTCGTGTTTCTAACATTGTTATCACTGATGCACTGCAGCTGCTTGGACGCAATAAGACTCAAACAAAACATCACATTCTGCGGCTTCTCACCTTTTTCGCGCCGAGGCTTTCCGCCTTTTTCCGGGCAGCTTCAAAATCTTCATCTTGTCCAATATTGGCCTAGAATGAGGCATTTGATTGCACAAAAAAGTGATGAATTTCAAAGCAGGCACTAGAAACTCATTAAACACAATAAAAACAGGGAGGTGCATGGTCGTTTTGGTGTAACACAATAAAAACAGGGAGGTGCACGGGCGTTTTGGTGTAGCACAATAAAAACAGGGAGGTGCATGGTCGTTTTGGTGTAACACAATAAAAACAGGGAGGTGCACGGGCGTTTTGGTGTAGCACAATAAAAACAGGGAGGTGCATGGTCGTTTTGGTGTAACACAATAAAAACAGGGAGGTGCATGGTCGTTTTGGTGTAGCACAATAAAAACAGGGAGGTGCACGGGCGTTTTGGTGTAACACAAAAAAAACAGGGAGGTGCACGGGCATTTTGGTGTAACACAATAAAAACAGGGAGGTGCACGGTCGTTTTGGTTTAACGGCATCTGGTGTTAAATGCATAAACACACCAGTGCACGCCTGAGTTAGTGTTTACTCTGACATCACATATCTCAGATGGAGATTTATCACCTCCTCTTAAATTACTACTTCGGAGGACATCTTGAGATTTGAAAGAGAACATTTCACTTATTAACTAATTAAAAACTAGCATTCCTTTAAGGAACACAGGTCGGCTTCTGCCTTTCACGTCAGAGATCTTATGCTGAGAGGGGACGGATATCAGCGAGTTTCATTAAAGTCTGTTTATGGTTCATGAGATATTTTGCTAACGGTACAGACACATGCATGCCAGCACAAACAGACGTCGGCAAAAATATAATTGTGGGTGATAAACGGGCCTTTGCAGCAGAAATAGTCACAGTTTAAATCAACTTTAAGCTCAGTGTTTTATGAACGTTCACATCTTGTGGGGGAGCAAATATTTTAACAACACAAACTTGTGATTCTACTAAGATTTAACACTTGCACAGCTTTCTGTCTGCCCTAGTATTATGTGAACGTTGCCTTGAATTAAGTGTCTCATTTCACGAGAAAGCCAAACGGTCTGCACCTTGTGTGCCACGCTGATCATGGCCCTACACCCTCTGAATGAAACTCAGCCATAAATTCTGCCTCCCTTGCACTTCTCTCACCCCGAGGGCAAAATGTAAATCCAGCTAGACATTAGAGAGCTTTGCATTGGCATTATGAAGCTAATCCTGCAATGGGACATAACCAGCATGGAAGCACATTTGGTTTTTGGAGAAACGCCCGCAGTCAACTTTTACACATCTGCTTGACAAAATGCACAAGTGGTCTGAAAACAGCTGACCTGCACTGTTCAATGAAACGCTTCAACCGAGCCACCTGTTGCCCTCACGCCTGTTACTAGAAGCTTACCAAGTATGTGATGACGTCGTAGCCCTGCTCTTTGAGCCACACCAGAATACAGGATGTGTCCAGTCCACCGCTGTAGGCCAGAACCACCGTTCCTTTAGACATGATGAACCCTTTCAGCCACAACAGACAGAAAAGCTGCAAAACGACAGCAAAGAAGAGAAAGCAAGCACTTCGTTTGAGAAAATGCTAATGAAAAGCACACGCTTACTCAAGTCTCTGTGATGTTAAATGGGTGACTAGTTAAAATGAGGATTGTCAAGGGGCGAAACAATTCTGGAAGCTTTTCGGAAACTTTCCATAGGATGTTAATTTGGGAATAATCCAAACTTTTCACAGGAATTTATGGGAATAAACCATCACAACCACCTTGGATCTCACCACTTTTAGAAAACATTGGATTCATGGTTTTTTTTTGTCAACGTGTTCATCAAATGTAAAAAAAAAATGTAATTTTCACATAAATGTTGAAATGAACCAAAATATGTACAGAAAATGTAACATTTAATTTATACAGCACTGACAAAACTTTTTCTAGTCTATTAGATTATTATTTTGGCTTTGTTTTTGTAACTTTATCAACATGAAAACAAAATGAATTTTATTAAAGTGCATTTCACAACAAAACTATTTACAACTATAAACAAACTGTTACTATTTCCCTCTATTCTTACATGTCCAGGTGTCATGTGTGGGTACAAACTCCAGTCACATATATGTTGTGTTTGTAAATGGTGGATCCATAGATAAGAACTTATGTGTGTAAAAAAGATTTGTATTTGTAACAAAAATCATTTAAAAAAGGATGGAGTCGGTGCTTCTGCAGCTCAGGTTGGCATTACTTTATGGTTTAGGGGAAGAAAAACAAAATCATTATCCATTATCTTCAAAATGTACTACCCTTACAGTAAAGTGTCACAGCCAAACCCATCTATACTCTGATTGGATTGTTAAATTTGTGATTGACAGGATATTGACCAATCAGATAAGAGAAAGAAAAATCCAGTCATAATTTGAAAACTCACAGGCAAATTAGGGATCAGAGATTTACTCCATGTAGGTTTTTTTTTTTTGCTTTGTATCTGTAAACATACCTTAACAAAAAAAAGTATCTTGTGTAATTTTTGTCCCATATGTATGATCTAAAGCACTGATGTGTGCATATTTATCTGTGGATGTACAAAGATGTAGTAAATCTCAGACATTCTGGTTTACAAAGTGCAACATTTATTCACATTCTGTTTTACAATTATAACACATATATGACTGGAATTTGTGCCCATATTTAAAAACTGAAGCCAAAACTGTTCTTCTTTTATTTAATTATGTTGGTGCTATTTTATGATTAACTTGAGTAACTTCCTTCTACCTTCTAGGCTTTCAATGCTCCATAGCAGGAAATGTATTTAAAGAGGATGATAGTTTCCTTATATATATTTAATCAGTGGAAAAAAAAAAAGACTTCTTAATTTGTGCCTTTTTATATTTTAGTATTGTGATAAAATCGTGTACCAGATACTTTAATGGACACTGGTTTTTGTTGCGACAGATGGATCACATTTTGATAGTAGAGCATCAAATGGACGAGTAAAAATCTCAACACGTCAAAACGGTTTATTTTTCTCTCCTAAATAAAATCCAACATAAACACGGAAACACGACAGTAAAATGTACTCACAACAGATGTCAGCGAAGAACCGACGGCTTTGGTGGGGCTGGTTTGGTCGGTTAAAACAGCTAACGAGGGATTCAACTGCCTTAGCGCGTGTCAGGTCCAGTGTTGCGTCAGGCTCGAGGATGAACATAACGTGACGTCATGACGTCGAACTCGACGGACTCGTGTAAAACTGCGTCTTTGTTTCCATACAATTATGGTAAAGGAATATTCTCTTCAACTTGTTGCACTACTATTGTATTTTCTTTAATTGCGATTAAAAAAATTAATTCATCGTTTAAATTGTGATGAAAAATAACGTAAAATTCATAAAAGTATTTTTCAGTCAGTTCGATTAAAAATAAAATCCAACAAGCAATCATGAGACATAGCTAAAGTTTGACTTACTATGTCATGTTTATGAGAAACTATGGCTTTATGTGTCTAAATTATGATTTAGTACATCAGCTGTTGCGGGAATGAAGCGTTTTTTCCATAGTTATCATATAAACATTATATATATATATATATATGATTATATGATATGATATGTATGGTTGTTTCATATAGAGCAGGCATGACTAATCAATCACGGACATCATTTCTCAAAACAGCTTAGAAAGTCGATCATAGATAACCAACTCTTGACAGCAATTTCCTTACAGGAGTACTTTTAACCATAAAATGTTTTTAAAGTATTTATACTTTTCCTTTAGAAACCTCTGCTTTTTGACATGTGCCTTTTTAGTATTCAACAATTGTTTTAGTTACATTATAAACAATGAATTAATATTTTATGTTACTGCAACTGTTTTTATTAGCCATTCATCTAATTTGAATCTTTTGGGGTTTTTAACTAAATTTCTAAATATTCAATATATCGCATCTGCTGTGCATCTAGAGTCTGCTGCAACTCTGAGCAGCCAGAGGAGGCTGCATCTCTGAAATGTGCTGATCGGGCATCAGCAGCTCCAGTCTTCTCAGTGTCAACAGAAGCAGATCCGACCACCTCAGCAGCTTCAGCATCATCAGGGTCGGCTTCAGCAGTTCCAAGGCCAGTCTCAGCCACGCGGGACCCTCGTTTTACCTCTACTACATTTTTGGCTAACTCCTCCTTCAGGACTACTCCTACTCCACTTCTCTTTCTATTCACACCATGATAAAATCGTTTAAACCCTGCTTCAATTGCTTCAATGCTGCAAACCTTGCTGCCCTTCCACTTGGTCTCTTGGACACAAAACATCTACCTTCCTTCTCTGCATCATGCCAGCCAGCTCTCTACCTTTGCCTGGTATTGTCCCCACATTTAGAGTTGCCATCCGCAGTTCTTCATTCTTGACTTTCCTCTTCTCCCTCTGTCTCCTGACTTCAAAAAGCGTTCAATACAAAAACTCTGTCTCCTGACACGTTTCTCTCCTCGTGGTCTTCAACTAACAGTAGCACAATTTCTACCGGCACCCTGTTCGTCATCAGCACTGGTAGCGGTCTTTGTTAACCTGGGCCTTGATTGATCCAGTATGTGTCACTTAGATGAACTTGTGTATAATATAACCTTGTGTATAACATTTATGACATAACATCTCATAACTAACTTGGCATCTCAAAATTACGACTTAACACAAACAAAACTATGACTTACAATCTCATAGCTATGAATTAGCATTATGTGACGTTACATCTTAATTTTGAGATAGTATATGATGCCAAGCGGAGAAACTAAGTCATAATTTTCAGATACACTTTACCTTCTTAAGACTGGTAGGACTAGACTTCCATTAAAAGTCAATTATCATGGATATTATCCCTTTAAGCTTGTATAAATATTGAATACCAATTACTATTTTTTTATTTTTCATAGGAAGTTTAGTGTTTAGTTTAGTTATTTTTGGTAGGTTGCACTGATTAATAACAGTTTGAGCATAATCTTGAAAATGTATCTACTGGTCCATAAATAAAGTCTGGTGGCAGGTGTAACTCCTCCAGACATCAGCACACATCGCTGTTGCAGCAGTTATTAAAAAGGACGTGCAACTGTGGCAAATCCAGTTAAATATCTTTTAGAGTAAATAATTTGAAAGGTGCAAAATAATGTCAAAATAAACATCTAGAATTAGACGTGCTTTATGGTTGTGAGGTAAAAATGTTGAAATCTTCCCAGTATGCCAGATCTCAGATTCATCTCTTAGGAAAGAACTGAAGAAATTATAATTGGGAAAAAAAAATTAAGGAAGCAATTAAAACTTCTGACATGCTTTGAGTTTAGTTATGAAAATGCATTTTCTCTGGGAAAAAAAAAAAATCTTGTCTGTGTTCTTTTTGCCAAAATTAGAAAAATAAACATGCTGAAATTAACCTTAGCTCTTAAGTTTAAGACTTAAACTCCACTATCTCTCTGATCTGCTACAGCCGTATGTCCCACCATGCCCCCTGAGGTCAGCGGATCAGATGCTCCTCACAGTTTCAGGAACTCGTCTTAAGCGCAGAGGTGACAGGGCCTTCTCTGTAGCAGGACCAAGACTTTGGAACGAGTTACCTCTGCTTGTCAGACAGGCCCCCTCCCTCTCGGTTTTCAAGTCCCGTTTAAAAACTCACTACTATTCAGTAGCTTTCAACACAAGATGATCTGTGTTTTGATCCTGTATGCTCCACACTGGTTAGTCGTCATTATCTGCATCGTTTTTATGTCTATATTCTGATTTAATTCATTTTGTATATTGCTTTGTGTGTTACCTGTTGTTCTGTCTGTACAGCACTTTGGTTGGCCTCGTCTCTGTTTTAAATGCTCTATAAATAAAATGCTATGGTATGGTAAACTATTTGTTTTGAGATTTTTTTTTTTGTCTAAATTGCTGCAAAGTGATCTCAAAAGATTACAAATACGATCAATCTGAAATGGTTTTACAACTATTTTTAATCAAAATATGCAGTTTGGATGTTTTTAAAGTAAACTATACACAAAGTGCGGTTTTGATCAAACAATGGCCACAACCTGGAAAATGTTTTTACCAAACTGGTCCACTAGATGTCAGTATATACCCAAAATCCCTGACACCACCACCATCCTTTACTCAAGATCATTAAAACTTTTGAGTCAGTATAGTTATATTTTTGAACATTTATTTCTTTTGCCATGAACTTTCAAAATAAAGAAAAAAATATGATCAAAAATACAATATAAACTTTTGAAAATTATTACAATGAATACTTATTTTAAAGATTTCTCACACAGGGCAAGAAACACTGAGCAAAGACAACGTCCATGTGGCTAGTGACTCAGCTCAGTCTTCTTTGCTGATTTTAAATCCAAGGATATGATGTTTCACAAATGTTGAGCCGCCCTCCCTCCCCTTGTAATTACCCTTAGAAATCATACACAGTTAGGCATTTGTAAAAGACACACAGTACAAAGTGCCTAGTTAACAAGTCCTGGCGCTAATAACCGTGTTGATGCTTTAAACCAAAGATGACTGAAATCCACCACTTCAAATACAACGTATAAATACCCCCATGATTGACTCCCCATGAACAAGAGCTGTCAGCTGAGACTGGACGTGCACAAATGCAAGAGCACAGCTCAGAAGACAAACAAAAAGAGGGGAGATGAACCATAGAGTCAAAGTGAGTTGTTGAATCAGTGTCCAAGGTCTACAGAGTCCCTGATGATCCAAAATAAAATAAACTAAAAGAGGTGCAAGGAAAAAATTATCCAGTGGGAACTCAAAAGTGGCTGAACTTCATCAGAACTACCCTTTTATTAAAAAAATATGAAATTCGTTCTATAAGTTATGGCATAACATCTGTAAAATACAATGCATTTATTTTATTCGCCCCCTGCACATAGAAATTTTTTTTTTTTTTACTGTATTTCTTGCACTGAAGAGAACGAGCCTATTTTTCCTGCAGTTGTGACAAAAAAAACAACAAGATCAAAGTTTTGAAAATAGAAAAAAATGGCATGTTTGCAATGTTAAAAAGTGACGCCGATGTAAAAACTGAAAAGTTGTCAACTGATGGCAAAAAAAAAAGCACAAAAACTGTGTATCCTGGTGGGCAGGAAGAGAGAGGGAAGGTCTTTGTGTCCCGGTTGTTGAGGGGCGTTAGTGGTGCTGTGCGATTCCTTCACCGCTCTCTACCACTCTTTCTTTTTCTCATCCATGGATACTCCACCGGGCCCAAGCGCCACCACCAGCAGCAGGCCACCGATGACCGAGGTGGTCTGGAAGAAGTCGTACTTGAGGAAGTCGTGCATGGGCTTGTAGGCGGGGATGGTCCAGAATGCGTTGAAGTACACGTTAATAGCAAAAAGCCACACAACGAGGGTCAAAGCAGCTAGTTTGGTTTTGAAGCCGATGGCCACCAGGATGATGAGAGCAGTTCCCACCATGTTCTGTAGGATCTGTGGGAAAAAGAAAGTGGAAAAGTTAATTTGTCCTTGTTATAGCATGATTTATATCATAAGTTTCACATCATGCACTGACAGACTGTAATATAACAGAAAACAAAATACAAACTTTGTACAAAGTTTACAAAGTAAAAAATGTACAAAGTACAAAGTGTACTTCTGTACAAAATACAAATTAGTCTATGGACTGTGAGATGAATGCACAAAAACAGTTCAATAAGTGTAATTCAGAAGAAAAATTAGCACAATAAACATACATATTACCAAATAAAGAGCTTTGGCAAAATGTTTACAGTACATAAAAAAACAATGTTCACATTTTTTAATTTTTAAAAACAATACAGAGCAACAATTGTTATAGTTTTCTGGGACTGGCTAATTACTTAGTTTAATTTTTTCTTTTGTTTTGTTATAAATTACCTGGAATGTCAAAAATTAACTTGTTATTGACTAATTATTATTTTTATTTTTATTATTTGTGCTCTGACTTAATGCTCAACATATAACTTTAAAATTAAACCACTATTTTATCTGATTTTTGTTGACAAAGTTTGCTTGTTAATTTCCAATACTGTTAATTTTTTTTCAAATTTGTAAAATTAATAAAAACTACAATTAAATGCTGGGAATCAGCACCCACGTATTTTGATATTAAACTAACATTAAATAAATATGCAACTAAAATGCACTGACTGAACGGCACATTTTGGTAATGCGAAGATTGTTAAGATTCATTGAAATGCTAAATTACAATAAAAGTAAAGTTAAAAGGATAATGAAAATATTTTATATCTCAAGCTCGTCAGTATGCAAAACCATCTATGTGGTTAATAAATGTCTGAAAATAGGCACTTCCACAAATTTGTCTAATCGGCAATTTTGGAATAAAATTAATTTAAATAGCAGAAAGTCCCCTTTGTATCCAGGTGGTGTCATGCTAGGACTTACAGAGAAGAAACTGGAGTCAAAGTGTAACAGAGTCATGAACATGAGCACGAGCAGAACCCGGCCGCCCAGCTGCATGTACTGCTTCGGTGAACTCTCCCCCATGGAGGGGACTCCAGCAAACATGCTCTTTCCTTCTGAACGGGACTCAGCCAGCAGCAGGAGCAGACCACCTCCGAGGGCCAGGTTTCTAACAGGAGGGGAGAGAAATGCAAATCAGACAAACAGAAAAGTGTCCCTGAGGTTGGATGAGTCAAAACTAATCATCTGACCAAAAATGAGTTTCTTTTGTTGCAATCATCTGTTCTCCATTGATACGACTTGATTTTCCAACCACATCTTTTAGTCAACTATTTTTCTGTCCACCAAACCTGTTTATTATAGGTGTGAACTATTATTTTACACTCGGACTTGATCCCGTCAGCAAACAGAATGTGAAGTCCACAGCGTGCACAAACAGAAACAGTCAGACTCAGCGCTGTAGACAGATGATTCACTGTGCTTTCTGCTGTATAAATAAATACCATGCAGTCTACAGTGATTACAGTGATTAGAATTGCTGCTGTCTAAAAATTTACACTTAATCTGTCTCCAAAAAGCAATCTGAGGTATCCTTATCTTTATCAAACCCTTGTGAAATGATTAAAATGATGGAGTGTTAAACATTTTAGTACAAAATGACCGTTGAGATGCTTTCAGCTGAACATATTATAGCTGAGTGATGCTTACCTCATCAAGAACTTAAGGTCCCATAAAATGCTGTATGCGACAGTCTGGTGGGAGATGGATATTGAGTTAGCCATATTAATTTGTTGCATGAATTTATTTTAAAAAGTCAGTAATCAAAGAGTTCTTACCTGTAGAGCTATGATGCCAAATAACCCAAAGCAGGCGTACTGTACAAAATTTCTACTGAGAATGAGCACACAACCACCTGTAGGGGGGGAACAGTCAGGAAGTTACAACTGAAATCACAAAGATATCCATGATATCCATTATTCTCTAGACATGTCAAATACAATCATATATTTTGTGTGTTGTGTGAACTGATCATTAAAGAGCACAATCACAAATGAACATGTTTTATTTAGTCAGCAGAAATAACCATAATCCAGGTTTGTCACAATGTCTTGAGTTAAAGACACTTCTCTGTCTCAGAGTTCCAGCATGGCACATCTAACTGAAGTCAATCCCAGAAAAATATTCCAAATAATCTGTTTTTGGGTTTCATTTACTAAAATATACAGTCAACCACCTTGCAGAAAAGGTATCGGACCTGACGGATCTGTGTACGCGGAGCTTTTTTCTTTACGTCTCTACAAGCAGACGTGTCCGCATCACAAGAGTTTAAAAACACTGTTTGTTTACACCTGAATAATAGAGCTAAAGTGAACTAGCCACATATACAATTAACAAAAAACCTTACAGAAAATAAATTCTAATCTCAAACTTGTGGAACTGAATTAGCACATTTACTCTTGCATGTCTTTGTTGAACTTAAATAAATGAACATATTTTAGGTCACTCCTTCTACGAGGAAACAGTTCAGCTTTTAGTCAGTCCCTAAAGATAAGACTGAGTAGATTTAATGACATAAACACGTTATAACAACTTCGTGTGAACTACATCACTTCTACAAATAATGGGAACTTGGTTTAAACTCCTCTCAAGACTGTTGCAGGTTCTGAGTCAGCCAGGACAGGATATGTCCTAAAAGTTTTAAAACAAAGCGACTGGACTTCTTTTATCATTTGTTGAGAAAATTCCAGGCAAAAAGTGTTTAACAAACAAGTACCGGTAAATAAGTCCTGTTGCTTTGTTTAAAAACTTTTAGGATCTCTCTCACAGTTCCACTGAAACTGTGGGATAAAGTATTGTAGTTGCACGTGTGCACAGGAACTAAAATAAACTATTTATTACCACTGTGTACTGAATGTACAAATTGTGCTGATCCTTGTGAACTCCTGACAAGTGACACATAATGATGAGCTTTTAAGTTTGAATGTCATTACCACAGCCCTAAAAATAGTTCTTTACAGTTTTACTTGCTTTTCTTATTCAAGCTTTGTGTGACATTATTTAACACTAATATTAATGTGCAATAAAAACCTCCTGTGCACTCACCCAGCTGTCCAACAAGATTTAGCAGCACAAAGCACATAGCCAGAAAGTAGCCACAGCTCCAGGTCGCCTCGATGTAGTCTCTCTGCTCGTTCCACTGGAACCACATGCGGATCCCGTCTTCAAGGAAAGTGCTGATGAGACACAGACGTGCCAAGTGGGGCAGGTACTGTTTGGTCACCCGCAGAAACTGGAAAACAAATAAAAATAATAATGAAAATGAGCAAGAACTAGGTTTAAAATTCAATGTATAAACTGCCTGTGCATCTTGGTATGAATAATTATACAATTTATTACAATAGCTGAATGTAAAATCCTACAAATACAGTACTTTTTATTGCACATACTAATATTCTGCCACACAACATCAGTGTCACAAAAGGTAAAGCATTATTTTGATTGGTTTAGGTCTGCGCAGCCGTTATAGGAGTGCTTCAATACAGTTCGTTAATCCCGTACTTTATCACCACTCTTACCAGTTATCTTCGTTGTTTATTTGAGATGGGGAAAAACAACAGCACGATAACAAACTAACCATGCTTTCCCCCAAATGAAGAGTGACAGTAAAAAAAACTTGGATACATAATCCCTGAATGAACAGGCGTGAATTAACATTTTAAAGCAACCAGAGCAGAAAAGGTCAAAGGTCTGCTAATCCCTAATTGCTCCCCTGGTGCTTACATAGCTGCCCACTGCTCCACCTGCGTGTATCCCAGGTGTGATGGGTTAAATGCAGAGAACCACTGTATGGGAACACACAATGGCAACACATAACACTTTACTTTACTTAAATAGCTGCATTTTTTTAATTCAGTTTTAACATTTGAGCTGACCTCAGCAAGTCATATTCAATTAAACGTCATAAGTTAACCAAAATTGAATAAAAAAAAAGTAACCGAAGAAGTAAAAACTGTTCCCGTAACTTTCTTTTTGATAGCACAAAAACGACAGACAAAATGTTAGAACAAGCCTAATCACCACATCTGGTTTCCTTTGTTAGATATGAACAACAACAAAAAAGCACTAGTTCCTGATGTTGCTGGGTAAGCATTACCATAATATGACTAAAATCTGGATGGTCTTTTGCTTATTAATCAGGTGCTCTACCTTATAACCAGTAATAACCACAATGTACACACCAACTAGAATGACATTCTGCAAAACAATCAAATACTACAAACGTCAAATACATTTACAGCTATTCTTTCTTTCCCTTTAACTTCTTTTTAAATAGGCTGCTACTTAAAAAAAAACTGCAATTGCACACTAACAGTTTCCTTTAAATGTCTCTAAAAGGACTAAATGATCACTGACCTCAGAAGTGTGAAAAAGCATAATGTAGGCAGACTAAGAGTAAAGCTGAATAAAAAAAAAAATCAAGACAGTTGTTAGTCTTTTGAGTTCTCTTTTCTAATTAATTACACTCGGTGTATAAACAAAAATATCACCCTAAGCTACAGTGATCAAAACTCATGCACATTTCTTCATTTAACACTTTGTAAAGCAGCAGGGACCTTCCCCTTCACCCCGGTCCAGCCCATCCAGCAGTCCACATCAGCACAGACTGACTTCAGCAGCCTATCAGCATCCATCCACTCCCACTAGAACTGCTGTGGGGGACATGAATGGACACAATCTGAGCCAATCGAGATGAGCACAGGGTTGCTGCAACAGCTAGAAATAGACAACTGTAAAGTATTATGTCTTACGCAAATTATGTACACAGACAGAGGGATTTGTCATATACCAGGCTGCTTAAAGAACCAAACTTCATGTTTCAAACACGTCTATGTACCCTTATAGATAAATGTTGCACAACACTCGTGACAGAGTGCACAGCTATAGAGGTAAAAAAGACATGAACAAAGTAGTGCACTTAGGCATGTGGTTCATTCAGCACATTGAGAGCAGACCATGTCTTAATACTTACATTTATAGAAAATAACTTTTTTTGTGTGTAACATACAGCACAGAAAACAACAACACTGCAAAAACTTCTTAAAGCAACTGTGACAAAGTGAAAGTTCACTTCCATATGGGGGTCGACAGGCAAGAGCAACATACAGATGTTGGTTTTGTAAGTGTTTTTCGTCATGTCTATAAAGCTAAGCAGTACGGGTCATAAGAAACTAAACTCAGATTTAATACCACTGCTAATCCAAGTGATTTCACAACTGCAGACAGGCACAGTCTAGCCTGTCTGGCAGCAGTGTTCCTGTTAAATTTATTAACTGGTAAAACAAAACAAACCATACTTATTCTTGTACACTAAGTTATCGATGCCAATCTAACTTATCTACGGTCATCTTTAGCAACACCAAGACCATCTGGAGGCGCATGACATAAGAGAGGCGTCTCTCAAGACTCGTTTCCAACTAAAACACAAGTAGAAAATGCTCTGTCGATCTACGGTCACGTTTGCACCGCCGAAAAACGCAGAAACAACAACACAACTCTTGTCAAAGCCATAAAGGAAGTGCTCGAGCGCTTCGCTTCATTCTCAGTAAACTAGTTAGCAGCTAGCATGCTAACAGCGGCTAGCATGCTAGAAATGAAGTTACCTGGTCTGCCACGTCTTCGGCTTTGTTCATTAAGTCCTCCTGGCCCATATTTTTCTGTTTTCACAACTTTTGTAATATTAAAGTGTCCGTTCTTATAGATAAGTATGAATGTCTTCGCAGGCTTGGCTCAGACAGTTCCTCCCCCCGTTATTTACTTGACAACTATCCGCTCTGGGTGCAGAGAAAGGCCGCCTCCGCCCCACAATGCCCCGCGATTTGACGGAGCGAGGCAGCGGAGCCCCCCTCCAAACAACCGCTGTGTGCCACGTAGACTGAAGAGCAGGGGCTTCACCCCCACACAAACACACGCACATACAGGTAAACAACACAGGATTTAAATACAGTAGTACAGGAAGAAATATAAAAATACTACTTCACTTTTCATTTATTGTCATTTTTTGAAACAAGCTATTTGAGAGGTTAAAATAACACCCCAATAAAGCAGTTATAGAAATAAACATTTCAGATATTCACAAATATTAACTAAAAAAAAAAAAAAATCAATACTATTCAGCAGTAAGTTACCTTTTTTTTTTACATACACGAGCAATGTATGCCAGAAGTGGCACCTGGACCATCTGACTTGACGTCTTTAATAAATAAATAAATAACTTAAAATAAAATGTGAATCTAGGACTTTTTAAATAATTTAGAAAAAGTTGAAACATAGTTTCTACTGTTTTTAAATATGTTTCAACAGATATGCTTTTGACAAAAACATGGCTAAACCTGGAGTTTTTCATGTGCATGCTCATTGGCATTGCATTGTGGTGTAGATATATTCATGACTACTTCCAGTTCCGTTTAAATTCACTTAAAACAGTGTTCATCTATATTTCAGCTGTGCTGTGCAGTCATTCTGACATCCTGCAACATTGCACAATGACATCACAAAGTAAAATAAAACTAATTTATAAATATCAAAACAAAAAAGTTGGTGCAAAGGACCAAGACTAGAGTTGAACGCTGACTTTGTGTACTGGAAGTAGCTATGAATGTATTAGAGCACGTCGGGTCCGAGTTTATGTATGTGCATTAACTGTAAAAAGGTCTTCCACATTTGTTAAATTTACTGTCACAAGTGCCATGAAATCACATCAAATTTAATTTTAAGATAAAGACAGTCAAGTTTTTTTGTCAGCTTTTGCGTTTGTCTGTAGCGTTAGAACATTTCATTGACCACTGGACGGACTTTAATGAAACTTTCAGACGATATCTACAACTTTTGGAGTCAAGATGACCCATCACTGCGAAGCAAACTTATCAAGCACAAAACCAAATTTAACTCAGTTTAAAAGGTGTTCAGGTGGAATCAGCCTAATTCCCAACACATCTTCTAAGTACTAACAGATTAAGCACAATCTTTATTTCAGATTTGGCCAGTAGTCTTCAGGAAATAAAGGGAGTGTTCGTTTTGAGATGACCAGGCGATGCATCAGGTAGAAGAGATGATGAGCATCAAACTGAGGAACCTCCTTTTATATGGAGCAAATAGGGCGATTCAATTTGTCCTCTTGGATCAGGAAGGCCCAATCAGTGTAATCTAAGTTTATGGTATCATTTAATAGCTGATGTGCAACAGAGACAAAAATACAGAAATTAAATAAACATTGAGCTGATTTGCTGTTTTATTCATCACATTTGGATCATGACAGTGAAAGAACAGTTTTGTTGACATCAGTCACGTTTTAGCTGAGAATCTGAACAGGACATTCAGCTGATGCTTCGGCTGATGCTTGAAGTGGAGGGCAAACCAAGACCACCCAGCATGCCTGTGTTTCACCTGGACTACAAATGTGCGCCCAGCGATAAGATGTCCTCTACAACTAATTAACTCTTGGAAACACCACATTCAACATGGCTGTCACAGCTTAAAAAAACAGACATTACTATAAATCAGTCATTTTACCAAAATTGAGCTTGTGATATTGAATTAATTTCACGTAATATTATTTTGAAGTTTTCACAAAAACTGCTAGTTCTGTCATTTCTCAGTTTAAGATGATCTTCATCAGAAATTGTCATAAAGATTCTTATGATTTGAGATTAACGGTAAAAAGTGGTGTCGTTCTAAATATCCAACTTTATATCTCTATAAAAAGGTACGTTTTTTTTCAAAACCCCACTGCTTTATGGTGAAAATGTAAACTTAAAACTCCTTTTAATTCAAATAAAATTCTGAAAAGAATTGAAAGATGTGAACACGACACATCCACTTTTAAAATACAGTGTCTGTTTTAACGGCTCTAGCACAAGTGATGTTTGTACTGATCGAAATAAAAAAAAGAAACATGTGCACAATCCAAATCAAGATTTTATACAAGAGCATCAACCAGAATCCACACCTTCATTTGTCCCACAGGCTCATTTCATGTCATCTAAGCCAGCTGTGGTGGAACAACAGCTTCAGAAAGAGAAAACGTCTCTTTGCTAGGGCTGCTCAGAGGACAGGCTGGTTCAGACAGAAATAACTAAACTGGATGTCAGTGTTTACTCCTGACAGTTTCGCAGGTATAAAAATAATATAAATGTGCCTGCACTCTTCACTTTCCATTTTGCACTTTTCCACGTTTCTTGCGTCCCGATTTCCACCGGTTATTTCTCAGTTTCTTCTGAGATCCACCACTTTGGACCTGAAAGACAAGTAAATCATAAGGAGGATCAGCATCAACTTCAGAAAACAGACTTTTAGTCGACAGCATCCAAACCAAAATAATATTCGACACATTTTTCAGACCTTTTTACGTTTCTGCACCACTTGCGTATCCACTTCCATTTCCTCGTCTTTGTCTGTTTGAAAGTCGTCGTCCTCCTCCTCATCACCCTTCTTGCTTTCAGCTTCTGGATTTTTCACAGTGAACATAGAAACTGTACGAACAAATCAAAAGATGTTAAAGCACAATCAAACTGACACAAACGAACTGAACAGCATGTGAACGTCAGAACTCCAGCAAAGCACAAATGTTAAATGTGCATGACGCTCAGTTGGTATGAATGAATAAATGTGCAAAAGCTGAATGTACTGACGTGGATAGAGGTCGCTCATGCTGTCTTCCGAGTCGCTGTGCTCCTCGTCACTGGTTGAGGGTTCCCACACGTTGTTCGATCGTTTTGATTCCGCCCCCTGACCGATTTCTTCTCTTGAACCTTTGGGTCTTTTTTGTTTCAGTCTGGCTGGAACATATTCAATTCCTTTTTGCACACACTCCTCATCTAAAGCAGAGAACAGGTGAACATGTCAGTTATCAAGATGAGAACTAAAACATCCAAAAACTTAGATCTGCAGTAATGTTATGTCCATGCAACTTGCTTTTTCAGTGGTAAAATTTCAGCTCAAAAGCAGGCGTTTTGTTAGCTATTATTAGAATACGATAACTGATTTAAGCAAAGATCTTGGACTATGTGTTGTGAACAAAACTTCAGCTTAATATTTGTAAAATTTACTGAGTTATAGCCATTTTTGTACTTTTTAAGGTCAGTTTACTCAAACATAGGCAAAATTATTGTCCACCATTGCCTTTGGGCTGTGAAAAAAATACATTTTAGCATGGCAAATCCTAGAAATTTGCATTAATATGTTTATCAGATTACTGAACTCTGCATAAATATCACCAGTCAGCAGACGGTGGAGATTTCCTTCCACAATGATGGGTGTAACTCAAAAACTCAGGTGCACAAAATGTGTACCACTCAATACTAGTGACCCACTAACAAAAGTGTGTCATGCACTCAGACATGTGAGCCACTGACATTGTGAAAGGGCTTTCTTGAAGCGTTTCCCGCTGACGTGTCTCAAGACATGATCCGGTTGCCGGTTTAGATGCCTCAGAGTCAGTTTACAGAAGAGCTGATTGCTAAAAGAACAAATTAGAAAACAAACAATGTTGGAAAACAAGATGACAGCGGTTTAGGGCATTTTCATATTAAATGGCCACACAGCTAGTTTGCTTTAAAAGCAGGTGTCTCCTTACGGTTGCTTTGTGCTTGGCACAATGTGTGGCTCATACTGCTTGTAGTTGAACTCTGCTGTAGCAGTCAGTCTCTTGTATTTCTTCCCCTGGGTGAACTGCTGCAGCTCCGTCAGGTTGCAGGGAATCTCGTGGTCATTCAGAGTGCATTTGATCTGAAAACAAATTGGAAAACAGGGCACACTTGATGGAGTTAAAAAGTAGTTTATTTTCTTGTCGCAATATGAAAATAAATATTTTACTAATATCAAGTGGTTCCACCTCGCAGTTACATTTAGCACACAGCTACAATGCGTATTTTGTGTGATATATTAATTGTTCGCCAACCTTTTTGTCACCTGTTAGCAGAAAGAAGGGGTGATTATTAAGAAAGGCTTTGATGTCGGCAGGTAAGTCGTCCATTTTTTAATAGAAACACTCGTAAACGTAAACAGCTAACCACGTTTGTAAATTAAGCTACCGCCCCAACAGGAAGTTGTCGACACGCGGTTTAAGCACTGTGGTGAATGATGCTACCGCCACCTACTGGTCAACATCGGAAATAACAACTCAAAGATAAAAAACTTTTATCGTATTAATGTGGTGTTTATTACATAAACTGTTTTATTTATTCTTATCATATTTCCAATAAAATAATAAACATATCAAAATAGCTTGCTATTAGCAGCAGAATCGGTTTAAATGATTATATCCTGAGGGTGAGTGGCGCTCCTTCAGATCAGCTGACGGCTCAGGATTAAAGAGCAAAAAAGCAGAACTTCCACTCTTCATGCATTTTGTAAAGACCTTTCTGACACTCAATATTTTTTAATTAATTAATGCACTACACTGCCCTTCATAAAATCTATCAGTAACTGTAGCCTAAAACAGCTTTATAAATTATCTCTAGTTTATAATACAGTATATATTTTACTATACTCGTCTGATGATATTTTTAACAGAGTGAGTCATCTTGCTTTTCTACAAAGCCCTTATATTTTATTTCCCACAATTCGCTGGTTCCGCAAATATTTGACATCTGCCGCTGACATTTCTACTCTTGGTTGAGACATTTTCCGAGAACATTTTGTCTTAACATTTGACAATAGCATTTAAGCAGACTTTAGAAAAACTAGCTCGACATCGACTGTGCTTAATTTGAACCCGCTGTTCGTAGATCATCCGCATCAAAGCTAGTTAGCTAGCCGGCTGCTAGTTTCGTTAGCTAGTAGCTGCTTTTCTGTATCGCATCTCTAGACCGGAAGTTTTTAGTGACAATGTCTGGACCAAATGGAGATCCAGATATCTCCTCTGATGATGGTATTATCAACGACGACGATGACTTTGGCGACCAGGGTAAATACTGTTAATTGTTACATATTGCAGAACTAATAAGTCAAGTTCTCAGTTCAGAATAAATCCACCAACTTAACTTAATTCATGTTTATGTCTGCTGGCAATTACTTAAAAAATAGATTTGGAGAGTTCAGAGCCAGTGAGTTTTGTGGGAGTGAACTAATACAAATCTTTGGATTAAAAATATATATTTCACCTGCACAAAATAGGTATATGATACAGTATAATTTAGCTAGGGAGAAGAGCCTAGAGCTATTTTGACAGTTTTTAATTTTCTTTAACAAACTTTTTTGTGTTGTTCTAAATTTGTGACATAAGCTGATATACAGTATGACTGATAGATTACTTTTGGATATTTCTCCACAGAGTACGCTGCCATCAACTCAATGCTGGACCAGATCAACTCTTATCTGGATGACCTGGAAGAGCGAAATGATGTCCTTAATGGAAAAATGCATGAACTGCTGGAGTCAAACCGGCAAGCCCGTCAGGATTTCAGGGCCCAGCTGCTTGGCTCACAAACCCACGAGGAGCATCAGACAGCAGAAGAGGAATCCTCACCCAGTAAAGACCTAAATGAGGAAAACTGAGATTCACAAACTTGCACGAAGAGCTGGAGTTTGGGTTAGATTATATGACAGGGCGAGACAGATAATACAAACGTCTCCTAATCTCTGATCTGTTCCTCTAACTCTTCTGTGAGTTTACATTTCCATCTGTAGACATGGTTATATAACTCTGAAGTCAATACTGCTTATTTTCCTTACTGAACTTTGACACTAGAATTTGTTTCCTGGACAGATTAAAGTTTATTGGCATAACTAGTTCTCAGAAGTTGTGCTGCTGTGTGAAATGCTGTGCACCTCTAGAATGCAGTATATGTAAATGTAATGACAAAATACATCATTGTCTAACCGTTCAAACGGCAGCATGACACTCTATTTGTTCAGATAAATGGGAGTGTGATGCGTTCTTGTGTGGCTGTATGAGAGTTTTGGGTTCTGTTTGGTCAACGTCACAATCACAAAGGTGTTTCTGGCTAGTGGCATTTGTTTGTTGTGATATGTGTAATTACTTTTTGTCTTATAAAATACTTCAGGTGTATATTGTGTGTAAGAAATGTAAGATGTAGCTATGCATTCTGGTTAGTAGAGCGATGCAATTTGGTAGCTACAATGGAGGACAGAAGCAGAAGTTGAAACTTTTTTCCTCTCCAAAAATTATAATTCAGTAACTTATTTTCCTAAAATAAAGGAAGAAGAGTTATTTATTGTATGATAAATATGGAGATAAAATGTGAAATAATGAGTATTTATTGTGACAAGTTGGCTTCAATTAATATTTTAAGATTAAAGTTCCTCAAATGCATCTATTTGAATGGTTTTTAATGTTTACTCCCTGATTATACATTTATATGTGTACAGTATATGTTGTTTTCTAGCCACGCTGGGACACCATCAGGGCACAGCATGCTACAATCTTGAGGAATCTCATATCCTCATCTTCACATGGAGTCATTGAGATACTTTTGCTGCTAATACATTGTACTTAATTACAAAATAGTTTTTGTTTCCTCTACACGTTGGGATTTTAACTGCGCTGATATGAACACAATAATGGTGGACTGAAAGTTTGAGACATTTTCTTTCTGGTAGCTTTAAAGAGGTGGGCAGCGAGTTGAAGTGGCAGATTTAGTAGCTGAAGGTGCTGAAAAGATGACAAAAATATTAGTTTGATGATCGTGTTCTCAAACCAGAAAAGCCAACACAAATTGAAGGTGAGGGAAGTTGTGTAGTTACCAACAGTTTTGATGTCACCCTTTAGAAACTTTTAAATTTCTACTTCAGCTCACTCAACAGAAACAAAGCAAATCAATTACACTTAAAACAATGAAGAGCCCACTGATTAAGGGATGTACCCAGAATGTACTGCAGTGTGTGTACCCACTGGATCCATGATTTTAGGACACAAGTTTGATCAATACATTACACACGTAAGCCATGAACAAATACAAAAAAGACAACACATTGTGGGGTTTCTGAGACATTTTAATATAAATTAAAATACTTCCAAACAGAAAAAACATCCAAAAATACATTAAACTTCCAGCAGTTAGAAAACATCACCTGGTTGTTCATCTTGTCAGTAGCTGAATAAAAATACAAGAAACATGGTTTTATTTGAAATTAGCCTTTTGTGTCTTTTTCTCGCTCCTGGTCCATTCGAGCTGAGGAGTCCAGGCGCCTCGTCCCTTCAGAAACAACGCATGTGACAAGTTGCCGGACTCGTCACGAGTTGCTTAACGTCTTTTCTGGGTTTAAAGATCTTCCCCTAATATGGAGTATGAAATGTTTCCAGAACAGCACGCAAAGTCACAAAGAGGGAAGTAACCTCCTCACTGCCAGCTTCATGTTTGAGCATTGCAATGTCACAAAGTTACACTTTTACAACCTACAGTTGTAACCAGTGCTTTAAATCAGAGACAACAGCTTGTAAAGATAGTTTGCTACATAAAAAGAGAGAGAGCACACATCATGAAAATTTATTTTGGATCATCTCTGGTGAATAAATCTGAGGAAAAGAAAACTAAACGACAAACTGGTGTCAACTATGCACCATTACAATATTGCGCCGCTGATGCTCAAAAGTGCATTTAATGTCAACGCAACTTTTTTCTCTTCCACCTGTAGGCACACTTTAAAACATCCAGAGGAATGTGACACAAAAAATAATATTTTCTGTGGTGCCAATACAATCCTAGAGAAACTTTTTATGGATTCTGAACTTGAAGCCAAATAAATCTGCCTCAACTAACAAATTCCCAGGAGTCAGAAATACCCAATTGTTTTAATTCAGAGTCAAAGTGGGAAAAAACAAAACCATAATCAGCTCCAATTGACCGCCATATATATATATATATATATATATAAAAACATATATATATATATATATATATATATATATATATATATATATATATAAAATCACCTTTTACTGTAGACAACAGGCCAATAAACATGTCTAGCTGTTAATTTGAAACTAATCCCCAAAATTGACCCTAAAAAGTCTCTAACCAAGCAGAGATTAAAAAATAAAAATTCAAACCAAAGAACAATTTTAACACTATAAAACAGCTGTCACCTGATCAAACACTCATCAGGTTACATTCTACATTAAATTGCTAAAACAATTGCCATGTGGTTAGCAACGTGGACATTTTTTCCACCTAACCATCAATTATCTTGACTTTATCATTAGGCTTGCTTAAGAATCAAAAGCTTCGAAATGTTCTCATTAAACTCCTGACTTGAGGACCGCAGGGTGGAAAATAACATTTGCGAGAACATTTCAAACCTAAGAGTTGTCGTGTTTTTAGCTGTGAACAATGGCGTCCTGTCCCGTCTTTTATGCAAAAACTGAAAAAGCTGATTAAGCCGCAATTTATAATTTTTTTCGGTTTGTATCATCTTTTTGTGGCGTTCGTTCACTAAATGTCCGCAGTATACTCACACGTACCGGTAATATGAAAGCAGAACTTTATTTCAATGTAAAGAGTTTTGAGATGGATAATTACCATGAGGACTTTCCTTATTTAAAAATTCAAGTACATACGAATAACTTATTAATGTATCCTGGTTGTGAGGACAGAATATGGTCTGAACAAAAAAAAAAAAAAAAAAAAAATCATATCCAACTGTGTGAGTCTAAACAAAGGGCCTTACGCACAGTTGATTATATTAACATTTGTCTAACAGCTGTTATTTCCCACCCCAGAGAAATTTTAACGAGCGGCACCCTTCTACTGCCATTTAGTAACCAATCTTCTGATTTATTGATGCGATTTCCTCTGAATGTTCAGCATGGAGAGACAATGGGCCAATATGTTCTGTCCAGGAGACTACATCAGATGTTTTCTATTCCATATTGTGCCTTGAACTCAGCGTCTGCTCGCTGTGGACCTCCCTGACCTTCGTTTTGCAGTGGTTTTTGCCTTCCCTGTGCTGTTTTTCTTCCCTTGGCTAGCAGGAACCTCCTCCTCTCCATTGGACTCCTCCTCCTCTGCAGCTGCCAACCCAGAGTTGACCTCCTCAGCTGGACTCTCCTGAGCTGCAGACACCTGGGATGTGATGGTTCTATCCTCATGATGAACGCTGAGGTTTTCATCTGGGCTGCTGGGTGCTGCGATGCCTAAATCCTGTGAGGCTGTGTCAGTTTCTGGTTGTTCCTCTTCCAGCTGGTTTTCTTCCTCCATTTTCAGTCGGGTGACTGTAACGACCGGCTTCATGTTATTCTCTTGTGAACAGTCTGAGCTGGTTTCTGTTGCTGGTTTGAAGCGGTCAGCTGGTGGAATAGGTTCACTTTCTTGACTCTGCAACACTCTGTACCTCTGAAAAACAAATGGATTTAAAATTCAAATACAGATCCACTTTCTGATTAAAAATATATTAAGAGTTCACAAATATTTAGAGATGTGGAACGTATTATTGTAAAATATACAACTATGACATACATTTCATAAACACAAAAAGCAATATTTTATTTTGTCCATCATGTAACTGATGGTGAAGTCAAACTAACCTTGAGGTTCTCAAAGTGCTTCAGTGATTTGCAGTGAGTGTGCAGGGCCGAAGACTCAAGGAGGTAAAACTTGTTGCAAAGTCTGCAGATAAAACCTGCAACTGGATCTAAAAAACTGGATCCTGTCGTTTAAAATAGTAAAGCAGATCGGATTTATTACAAAAATGTGACATTATTGAGGCAGAAAAATAGAAGTGAAACATTTTAACCAACCATAGACCGTGTCAGGGTTATACTGCTCATCACTGGTTGCATCATATTGGGTCACATCTTTAAGGGAGGACCAGCCATCCTGTAACAGTGATGGTTGTAGATTTTCTCTAAGAGATACTTAACTGGTCGTAACCTTAAATGCAACAACTGGTAATTACGAACAATAATAATAAATCTTTCAAGCACCTGTTCTTCGTCTCCTTCATTTTCCTGCCACTCCTCTTCTCCCTCCTTCTCTTCTAGCGAAAAGCCGTCCGTGTCCAGAGCACTCAGCTTGGCCAAAGCGTCGCAGTCTTTTTCCTGGAGCTAATAAAAAGCAACAAACATGAAGCAAAGTAAATATATTATTTATTCCATTGAAACAAGTCTTCTAGTCTAAACATTTATACTGAACCAGAGGTGGGTTGTTCACCTTCCGTCTGTGCTCCTGGGAGTGCAAATGCTCTATAAAGTCCTCGGATGTCTTGAAGTGTTTCTTGCAAACAGCGCAGAAGGAGATGTCAATTCTACTTGCAAGCTGACAATGAGGAAAAAAAAACCAACAACAACTTATTAATCCATTCAAAAAAGTTGAAGTTGTTACACAATTATAACGTTTTCTTGATCACTACCTTATGCTCTTGAGAGCGATGGTGCTCCCCGATGCTACAGGTGAAGCGCGTATGACACGTGGCACACCATTGCTTAGCGTCTTTTTTCTCTCTGCAAAAACAGATGTTCAAAAATAAAAAGGCCACCACTTTAACACTTGTTTGAGTTAAAATGAAAAAAAAAAAACAGCTATGTGCAATTTCCCAAGGTCTACTAGTGCTCAGAGAACAGGTTGAAAATGCCTCAGCTACTACCAAATTTTAGCTCATTGTTTGTAAACATTGAGTTATAGCCGTTTTTGTGTTTGCTAAGATTGATCAATTGTGGCTAAAATCATATTTATGTAGCTGAAGCTGACCCATCCTTGTTTGCTCCCTGAAGAGACTCCTGCACTCGGGGCAGCAGGCTGACCAGGCAGGCGTTGCTCATGTGTTGGATTTCCATCATCCTCTGCTGGTGGGAAATGCTGTTCATGTGACTCCTGAAATTCTACATAAAACAAGCCATTTAAAAAACAGATTACAGCTTTAAAAAGAACCTTTCACCATTAAAATGCACACATGCTCAGCGTACTTGCTGGTTGTGGCAGGTGATGCTGCAAAGGTAGCAGTAGAACTTGTTTGAGCTCTCAGCTACAGCTTCCTCCTCTTCATCCTGGTTCTCTGGTGAAGCCAGCAAAGCATCGTTGTCCTCTGCTGGGAGATCTTCCTGCTGGTCATCTTCACTCAGCGTATGAGGGGGAGACTGGGTCAGCAAACAGCTGTAAATCTGTAGAGACAAACAGCAAATCAGTGCCGACATGAAATCTACTATAATTTAGAGGGATTTTTTAGTGATAAGCGTACACAGAAATCAGCTTCAAGCAGCTGATTTAAATGATTTTGTGTTTTTCTCACCTGGTCAGCAGTAGGCTCCTCCAGTACCTCGTCACCATCTGATCTCCAGTTGGTGTTTTCATCCTCCTGAATGGTGCATTCTAAATTAATAGACCCAAAGCATATGATATAACCGTAGTTGGTGCCTAATTGAATTGAATTTCATTATCAGTTATTAGATATGTGTTTAACCTTCAGATTGATTATCCAAAACATCAGTGTTGAACTCTGCAGTGACATCCTCAACCACATATTCATCATTAGGTTCTTCTGACCTGATAATAATAAAAACAATATTAAAAGGCTGTAATCAGAGGGAACTGCAGTAAGAAAGGTTTCCACTCTGCCTCTTTTATTATAAAAAGCTCAGTTTCCTTAGAGACGGCTGCCAGCTTTCCCGATCAACATCAGGTTTGAATAAAAGCAGCCACAGGTGATGAATTAATAGAAGTTACCTTGGTGATATGGAAATGAAATGGTCTTGCATGGAGAAGGCCACCGTGCGAAATTTGAAACTACAGCCAACAAATTGAACATTCAAAAACAAAAAAAACCCACGTAGTTGATTGAGAAAATGTGCGTCTCTTTAACAGCCTCATTTATCAGTGTCGACCCAGAAGACACAACAAAACGCATGTGTAAGAAAACAGATTTTATATTTGCCCAACATGTTTCAAATAAACAGGAGCTGGTATTTTCTTTGCTGCTGAAAGAAAAACAAGAAATAATCTTGCGTTCCACATGTTTTACTCAACAACATTTAAAATAATGGTTTTCTGGCCATTGTCCATAAGGTGTGCTTTAAATTTAGGCTAAAAATGCATTTTTTTAACTGCAGCTGTTTGTTAACCTAGCACATGGCTTTGTCTCAAGTTATAATAAACAAAAAAGGATCAAAATGTTAAGTGGCCAAATAACTGTCAGAAAAAGATAAACTACATATGTAGTTTAATTGGGCAGCAACGAGTTAGACTAATATCGTAATAATGATATTTAATGTGTATTTATTGTCAATAAAAAATATTGGACATAAATTAAAGTAGCACAAACAAAAGCATTAATATAGAACAGTTTGCCCACCCTTCTATTCTCTGCCGCTTTGCTGCAGGTTCTTCAAGCTGCTCCTCTGAGTTCTCTCCCCCTTCCACTCCTCCTACCTCAGTGTCTGTGGGAAGCAAACGAAACAAAAAAAAGAAGTCCTATTTATACTACCTAAATCAACGCATATCAGCGTTCCCATCTGTCAGCATGTTTCAGTGCCAGTTTAATTATCAGACTACCTGTTTGAGGCTTATCAGCATCTTCACTGCTGCTTTGGGCTGCTGCTTGTTGGTCGTCTGTGGTTCCTGCAGCCATCTGCTCGCTGTCCCTCTTCCTGTCTGTCTGACGAGCTGCAGCGTCCTGCACACAGAGGCAGGTAGCAAGACTCCAAATTAAACTTTTATAAAGAAACTTTATAGAAGCATTTGATCTTTAAATGTTTTCAGATTTTGGCACAAATGTTTAAAAACATGATCAGAGGTTCTGGGAATACATTTTTAATCAAATGTAACAGTTTAGTACATCAAGCAAACTGAAAACCTTTACAAACATTAATATTAGAATGACTCAGATGTTATTACCGTGGTAGAGATGGAGGTTGCAGTGGAAGTAGAGGCTGTAGAAGTAGAGGATGTGGAAGTGGTGGCGTTGTAGAAGCGAGGATGACGGTGGAAAGGCCGAGCACCACGGAAACCCATCATGGGGGATTTCATTCCCATTCCCATGGGAACTGGCCCAAGCAGAGAGGACCTGGTCCCTGTGGCAAAGAACTGTCGGAACTGCTGCCCACCCATCCCAAAGCCCCTCATGCTGCCTGGATGAAAGCAAACAAATTATTGAGCACAATTAGTGATACGTTTTACAAATACAAGAAAAAGAAGCGGCATCACAGTTTAAATTTAGCATTTGCCCTTTTCCAGATGTGGCTTTCTTTTAGAGTACAATACAAACAATACCTTGCATCTGCTGCATCAGTAGAGCACCCTGCAGCATCGGATTGGGAGCAATGATGGTTGTCTGGGTCGCCTGGCACAGGTTGACCATCCGAGGATGAGGGGCTGACTGAGGAGGAACAGGCATGGCTCTGGACAAGGAGCACACAAAAACTAAACATGTAGCGTAATTACAGAGATTTTGCAGAAACGTAGTCTTCTTTCTTGCCAACTTAAGATAGTTTACTTTGAAAAAACAATATGTTGCAATGAGTAAAAGCAAAAAATAAATAAATAAACAAGTGGAAAACAAACCAAAAAAAAAAACTTAAACCTGAGACATGAAATTTAAATTCAAATGCAAGAGCTCATTTCATCATTTCACATAGCTGCCACAATTATTTACATAATCCCTTTGCTTCCACAAGCTCAGTGTGTCTGGCTACTTTAACTTATAGTTCAGCTCTGATATGGACCAATAAAGTCTTTGTCAGAAACTACTTTTCTTCAGTTTACATCAGCTTAACTAACACATAATTACAAATATGCATAATAGCTCAAGTCAGGAAGTATCAGTACTGTATATAAATAAAATATAAATATAATGGAAAACAGAAACCAAACACCTCCGGGAACTGTCCCGGAGGTGTTTGGTGCCGACGGCTGACACCAGCACGATGATTAACATCTTGTGTCATAAACTCTCAGAAATTGGTTTCTCAGATCACACCATTGGTTGGTTCTCTAACTATCTTTCAGACCGGAGGCAATGTGTTCAACATAATGGTACTTCCTCCAGTTATTTAACATTCAACAATGGTGTACCACAAGGCTCAGTCTTAGGACCCACCCTCTTTACAATCTACATACATAATGTAGGCAAAAACATCCCTAATGCATCCATACATTTCTATGCTGACGACACAGTTGTTTATTGTCGAGCTAAAACAGTTGCTAAGGCTTTCCAGCTTTTGAAATCTGCATTTAACATCATCCAGACAGATTTGTTCCACCTCAAACTTGTCCTAAATGCAGAAAAAACCAAAGGGATGCTTTTTTCAAATAGGAAGTTGGTCCCAGCAGTTCTTCCTCCGATTTTATCCTCAAATGGTGTCCCCATTGAGTTTGTTGATTTCTATAAATATTTGGGTATCTTGGTCGACTCACATCTTTCTTTTAAGCTCCATGTGGAAAACTTGGTAAAGAAAATGAAAGTTAAACTGGGTTTCTTTTTCAGAAACAAATCCTGTCTAACCCTGAATGCTAGAAAACGCCTTGTATCTGTGACTTTCCTTCCCTCAATTGATTTTGGTGATATTATTTACATGAACGCTCCTACAAGAACCCTGCAGATGTTGGATGCCGTCTATCATGGTGCACTAAGATTCATAACTGGCTGTGATTATCGTACCCACCACTGCACCCTGTATTCACTGGTTAACTGGACATCATTAACTTCACGCAGACTCTCTCACTGGTATATTTTCATCTTTAAATCACTTCTTGGTCTGCTGCCTTCATACATCTCCTCCTACATGTCTCTGCGTGAGTGCAGCTACGGAGTGCGCTCTCAGGACATTATTAACTGCAGTGTTCCCTCAGTGAGGACTGAACTAGGCAAAAGGGCCTTCTCCTACTCCGCTCCTGTTTCCTGGAATATCTTACAAAAAGATTTGAAGCTCTCGACCTTGACCTCTCTAAGTGGCTTGAAGAATCTGTTGGACTCCTGGCAGGGTCCAATGCAGACATGTTCCTGTTTTTAGTTTTCTACATTTGTCTTGGAATCTAGCTGTTTTTTGTTTTGTTACCTTTTTCCTTTTAGCCATCCTATTTGTTAAAAAAAACAAAAAACAAAAAAAAAACTGTAGTATGAGTTTTTATAACTGTCTATTGTTGTAGCTGTTGTCCATTGTTGTCATCTTTCTTTGTTGAAATCAGGTCTCTCTTGTAAATGAGTCCTCGAGGCTCAATGGGATTTACCTGTATAAATAAAGGTTGATTGAATGGAAAACAGAATAGACCTATAGTCTGTAAATGTGTATAAAGAAGAGTAAGATTTTCAAAAAGTAAACGTATCTCTATTTATTAAATAAAGATATGTTAGAGCCTTGATTAGGCTGAAACATGAAAAGAATGGGTCAGATATAAATATATTTTACTACAAAAGAATAGAAACTTGTTTGTTGTTAAAACTGTGTGTGTGGGGGGGTGGATTTTCTGCACTGAAACCATCAATATACCTAAGATGTTAAGAGAGAGGGCGGAAAATTCTTATTAAATATAATACATAGCTAAAGCAAAGAACTCCAATATTTCCCTTTACATATATAGGTTTAGCAGGTGTTGCGGCTCAGCCACAGCAGGCCTCTGCTCAATCCCCGGTGTCGCGTTAACAGGCTTACCGCGGAGTCTGGTGGTGATGGGGGACATGGTGCGCTGGAGGCGGCTGCGGTGGAGGAGGCGGCGGAGGCTGCTGCTGCTGGAAAAGTTGCTGAAGCTGCCGGAGGTGCTGGTGAAACTGATGTTGTTGCTGCTGCTGCTGGTGATGGATGTGCGGGTTAAACATCGCGGGATGTTTTATCCTCCGATAGTTTACACTGAACTGTCCCGGAGGTGTTTGGTGCCGACGGCTGACACCAGTACGATGATCCTAAACTGGAGGATGGAAAATAAATAAATAAAAACAACAAATCAACTCCGCTTTTAATCCTTCGGTCAATTTTAAACAAATAATAAGACTGCGCCCTCCTGAGACAAGTCGCTCTCGTATTTCATGACAGCTAGCCAATGTTTGTTAGCAAGTACGCTACGTACGAGCAATCATTTACGGCTTCTCTGCAAACTTTCAACAGAAAACATCATGCTAGCTAGCTAACCGAACAGAGACTATAATATTAGCGCCCCCAAAGCAAGTATTATGCCTAAATCACAGCTGATAAAGAACTAAAATACCTGCTAAACGCTAATGTTACGTTAGCCACCACTCAGTTGTCTGAATACAACAGCTTAGCATTAGCATCGAGCTATTTTTCAGATGAGACGAGCTCAAGATAAGTTTCTACAGTTTACCTCTGGGCTCCTTTAGCTTTGACAAATTGCTTCTCAAATGGAAAATTAGCGAGACTTGATAATTATCCGACAAAAGTCAATGGGTCAGTACAGAATCAACTACTTGCTGTGAGGGCTGAGACGAATGAAACCCGAACCAGTCAGGCCAGGTCCTGGAAGAAAATTATTGGATATTATCGCCCCCTAGTGGTTGTCTACAGAACTGATTACACAGTTTTATTTATATATATAAAATTAGGTAACGGTGCGTCAAAATGTTAAAAACGACAGTCCGAATTCATCTTAATAAAACTTATATATCACTTTTGTTTAATGTTACATATTTCATCATAAGTGAAAAACCTGAAAACTGGAAAATGAGCAGGTCACAAAATAAATGAATTTGTAATGAAATTGTCTTTGCACTAATCCTACAATTAAGAGACTGACTTGTATTTATTGTATAATATCTTTATTTGTTGTTTTTGTTTTCCAATCTCTATTTCATCTTCAAAATTATGCATAGCTTGATTACATTTTTTAAATTATCACTTGGCCTGGCAACAAGCTAGTTTTATTTACATGAGTACTGGTTTGAAATCTTGATTTTTATTGGTCTGCCATCAGGAATTCAAAAAGGAGAATCCCAGTGCTTCACAATGACACCAAACATTATAGGATATATCATTACATTATACTTACATTATAACTTTTAGTGTATATTTTAAATCCCCGTATACTGTTTCTTTTTACACTTTATATTTTTGCTGTTTTTGGATGTAACCGGGACCTTGGGTACACAATTTCATTCCACCTCATGTACCACATGTGATGTGAATGACAATAAAGACCCTAGGACCTTATACAAAGGGATTTCCTAATGCTATGGTATCTTTCACGAGCCGTGCAGGAGCTGAAAGAGCCAGTTCAGAGCCAGTTCTACACCATACTGAATGAAGAGATGTTTGAGATATGAAAGAGCTACCTCTTTTTAAATAGTTGATCCAAATTTACCAGTTCCCAGAAAATATCTGTAAGTCCCATTGCTTCTGGTGTGTCCCTTGATCTTCATGGTGACATATGTATAATGTCACTCAGGTTCTGTAACAACCCTCTGAGGTCTTCATAGAAAAATTGTATTTATACTAAGATCAAAATACTGTACACACAGATGAACTCTTCTAATTTGGTGACTTCTGAAGGCACTTGGATTTTAGTTTAAGATAACTAGTAACTAAATAAATAACGCTTTCCAATTCACAGTCATGTACTATTTTGTGTTGGTCCATCTCATAAAATCCTTATAAAATACTTTGAAGTTTGTGGCTGGAACGTCACAAAATGTAGAAAAGTCCAGGGGGACTTTGGAAGGGAGACTTTTTTTTAAAGCACTGTAAAGTGGAAAACAGCACCACCAAGCGGTGAGTTTCCGGTACTGCAGAGATCTCGAGAGAAAATACAAGAGATCATCCTCCTCCTCCTCCTGCGCTTGCGGAGAGTGTCGTGGTGAGGGGAGCCGAGGAATAAGGAAGAAAATCGAGAATTAAAGCAAATATTAATAAAAGAAAAATAAGTGGACCAACAAATAAACCCCGTTCTGACCAGGAGGACCAGTCCTTCATCTTCTCTCGCCGCAAAGATGGGGAACCGGGGAATGGAGGATCTGATTCCTCTGGTGAACCGCATGCAGGATGCCTTCTCGGCCATCGGGCAAAACGCGAACCTGGACCTGCCGCAGATCGCCGTGGTGGGCGGCCAGAGCGCCGGGAAGAGCTCGGTTCTGGAGAACTTCGTCGGGAAGTGAGTAGCTTCTCCAGTGATGATGATGAGGATGATGACGGCCTAGTCCACATCCCCTCTTCCTTCTGTAGGCAGGTTCAGACCCCTCGCACAGGCTTGACTCGGTCCAAATCTCGTCCCACTTGTTCATTTTAATCGTAGTTTGTTTGTCTGTGACATGCAGCACTCAGCTGAGCAGATTATTTTGTGAGGCCTACATAAATCCCCACTGAAGTTATCTGTTTACTCCGCCGTGATGCATTCAAGGACCAAATAAATTACACTTAAATCCAGAATTGCCTCTAAAAACCTCAACATTTGACTTCATAACCCACTCGTGCTTTTACAATTAAAGCATTACAAATTTGGTGAGTTTAGTGTTTAAAATCTGATGTTTGCTGACAGGTTTCAGTCATGTGCAGATTTTTATTTGTCTGTCTGCTGATTAAACAACTAAACCAAGCAAGGGAGAACAAATCTGCTTTGCTATGTTGCAGCCCCTGATGACCTTGCAGTGGCAGGGGGGGGGGAAACAGAGTCCACCTGAGCTTTGAGCCCTCCCAGCTCAGCTCACCCATCTGTCTGTCAGCGCTTACAAAGCTGGGAGTGAAACCTGCAGTGCTGCGTTCACTGCACCATCAGTGCTGCAGCTTGAGCTTGTCAAACTTGTTTATGCTTATCAGTTTTTTTTTCTCTTGTTAGTTCATTAGAAGTTCATGCATTTTAAATATAATCTATCGGAGGTTGCACGTATCTAACTATAAAGATAAAAAAATAATATTTTTTTTTCTGTATGTTTGCATGCGTGTCTGTTAGCAAAATATCTCATGAAGCACTGGACAAATATTAATGAAACTTTCAGGAAGCGACCACTAGATATATCTCAACAAATCTTAAACTTTTGGGGTCAACCAGATTCAAGATGGCTGCTACAGCTAACTATTCCTAGAAAACCCAAAAAGGGTAATATAAAAATAAAACCTTACAGATGTCAAGCTAAAATTTGGAGTGGTAGTGGGTGAATGTAATTCACAACAAACGCAACAAGTGCTACTCATTGCACAAGTTTTTTTTTGCTTAAAACTTCAACATTGACAGTCAACTCTGTTTGTCTGTTAGCCAAATATCTAATGACTCAGTTTAATGAAACCTTCAGAAAGCAACCATTGGGTGAACGTCCACAACTGATTAACTTTTTGTGGTCAGTTCAATTTAAGATGGCTGCCACAGCTGATCAACATTAAAAACACCCAAATAGCTATAACTCAGAAAATTTTATAGATATTGAACTAAAATCTTATGCCATCATAACTGAGAATCATTCACAATAAATATCCTGAGCACAACTTAATGAAACAACATTTATTTTAAAAGATTTGACCAAATTAGCTTAACTGCATCTGGCATGAAAGGTGTGTGTGTGTGTGTGTGGGGGGGGGGGGGATATGGATTCCATCAAGGGAGGCTAAGACTCCTAATTTAACCAGTTTCCTATTTTACGTGATTTAAAACATGTCCTCGTTGCTCGTTATGGATCATCTCATGTTCTTCAGCTGTTTCCATAGAAACTCACCATTTGCAGATAACTGTGCTCTCCTATCTGAGGGACTGAACCTTGGGTTTAATGAACCTTGGGTTTAGGTTTAAAGCTTCTAACAAAGACAGGTTATGTTGACATAGGCAGATGATTTGTCCATGTGCAGATGTGAGGCCTGCAGTTTGAACTCTGGTTTCCTTCTGACTTGAACTGGTTTCCTCCCACAAACCAAAATCCATGCACGTTAGGGTGCCTTCAGGCCCCCCTTGCAGAAGAGATCTGTGATCTCAATGGGATTTACCAGGTTAAATAAAAAGGTTAATAAATAAATAAATTCCACGTGTAACAAAGTGCTGCTTTGCTTCCTGCTGATTCGCTCTCCTGGTGCAGCTGCAGTGATGTTGCTGCTCTTCCACCTCCTTCAGCACCCTTTGTGTTTGCATTCTCCAACCATAACTCACAATACACTGTTTAGCTGTCAACCTGGTTATTTTTCAAATAGATTAAATTTGATTGGATGCTGCACATCCAGCATGTTTGACTCAGGGACAAGGACGTTCAAAATGCGTTGATGCATATCTTAACAGCACGAGGTAGAAACTGTAGACACATTTTTTTACAGTTTTCCTTTTATTGTTGTGTGTTTTTCACGGTTTTGACACTGCTTTGTATCTCTTCGCAGGAAACAGACAGTATGCTCTCACGGCTTAATCAAATGTTTGTTTATAAGTGCGTTATATCTCCTCATTTTAGTTCTTATTGTTTAAAATGATTATAAAACTGAATCAAAGGCTGCAAATTTAAGATAAAATCAGTCTTCACAGAATTACATCAGCTGATTAAGTTCATGTGTGTTTAAAAGAAAATAAATCCATCCATGTACATATATTTGAATAGTCTTTCCTTAAATAATAACATAAAAAGCATTTATCTATAATAATAATAAGAGTCACAGCTTGTATTTTTACCTGAAGGGTAAAACAAAGTACAGCAAACAGTCTATTTTTAAACCAATATTTTAAATATTTGCTCAGCAATCTGACTCTTAAAATTAAAAATATCTTTAGCAAAACTGACACGGATGCAAAAAAAAAAAAAAAAGGACAGGAACTATATAAATAACTGGCATAAAATACAAAAAAAATACAATTTATAAACAAAAACATAAAAGTTTGCAATAATCCTAATTGATATGTGAATGGAAACTTTTTTTTAAAATCTACGTAAGGAGTATAAATGAGAATTAATCAAGACTGTTTCAAAGTAATTTATATGTTATGTATCTATTTTTAAATGCAAGATAAGCAACAGTTTCTGCTCACATCTTATTGGTTTACACTAATGTGAATGTAAATAAAAACTGAATCGGTGTAGCTGCTGTTTGACAACAAGGTGTGTCAACCAGTTTGAGATTCCCTTGGGTCCAATTATCACAGACGAAGCAGATTTCTGCTGCTGAACACTGGGAGCAGCAGCTGGGTGAAGCCCGTCCAGTACTTTATGTGATCTTAGCTTAGTTCATGGAGGGATTTTTTTTTGTCTTAGAAGGAAATTAAAACAAGAGAAAAGACTTACAGAATAAAGGAACTGATGCATCAGAAGAAAACGTATTACACGACAAAAATAAAAATAAAAAGTGGCCAGAGAATCAAATATTCAGCAGAGTCAGAGTTTCTTTATTTGTCATTCGCACCACATGTGGTACATGTGATGGAACAAAATTTTGTACACAGGGTCCCAGTTACATCCAACAATAAAATGTAAAAAAAAAAAAAAAAAAAAAGGAATAAGATCCAAGATATGAACTAAGAAAAACATGAACTAAAATATGCTAAGCACTAATATCATAAAAACAATAGCAATAACTAATAGCTTATAATAACTAATAACTTAGTAATAACTTAGTAATAATGAATGGTAAAGCAGCATGAAGTTTGGCTCAACCTGCTGTGGTTCAAGGTTCTTTAAATAACTGCTGTGTTTATCTGGTGCTCAAAGGTAAAATAAAGATTTGGTTGGGAGTTCAGGATGCAATGAAGAGGCGAATATCTAATTATGACATAATGAAACGCATTACATTAAAAAACATGTCATCGTTGTCTGTTTTTGTGGTTAAATATTTCTGAAATGGCTTTAGAATCGGATGGCATGGTGGCAAAGTTGGTAGAGCTGCTGCCTCTCAGCGAGAAGGTTGCTGCATCGAATCCCGGCTGGGAGCCCTTCTGGGCGGAGTTCGCATGTTCTCTCTGTGCATGCGTGGGTTTTCTCCACAGACCAAAAACATGCATGTTAAGCTGATTGGTAACTCTAAATTGTCCCCAGGTGTGAGACAGTGTGAACGGTTGTTTGCCTCATTTGTCTCTATGTGTCCCTGTGACAGATTGGAGACATGTCCAGGTGTCCCCTACTTCTTGCACAGCGACAACTGGACATAGGCACCGTGACCCCCATGATTCAACAAGGAAGAAGCAGGCAATGAATGGATGGATGGGTGGGTGGATGGATGGATGGATGGGTGGATGGATGGGTGGATGGTAGTAGAATCAACTGTACGGCATGTTGACTCATTTAATGAGCTGCTTGCATAATAAAGCTCAGTTTGACTTTCAGCACCATGGACAGCTCCTCGGATAAAACTGCAACAAACCTGCATGTAGATCAAATCCTTACGCCCTCTATACTGCAGGTGTGTTAAAGAAACAATAAGATTTGTTTCCCTCATTTACATTTATATGCACTGAGAAGAATGAGCCAAAGGCATAAAGGGTCTGATTTGTAGCTTTTGAAGCCAAACGGCAGCAAAAGAAAATAGGACCTATATTCCTGCACAGTGTGATCAAATCACATTGAGGAGGGGGTTGTTTTTTAGTTTTACTCAACTTAGCTGACTGGAGAGTTTTGTTGACGGTGAACAGACAACAAAGCTCGATGTTTTTCTCCTACTCCTTCATCGTCCCAACCCCCACGTTCAGCTTATGAAATAAAGATACTATCATGTGTTATATAATACTCAGGCAGGACAGTGAAATGGAGGCGTGTGAAAAGATTTTTCTTTTGTTCACACTTTCTCCACGTTAACAATGATCCCTTGTTTTTGTTTGACACCATCAAGGATAACAACTTTTATTTTAAAACTTAGATTGATTTTAATGTTAAATAAACATGCTCAGACTTTATGAACAAACTGTGTTTGATTTAAGGCACATGGGTCAAATGAAACATTGCTTTTTAAACGCGTTTCTAAAAAAAATAAAAATAATTGTGATTGTGATAACATTTTTTTTACATTTAATTGTGAGAATAGGATGTTCACTTTGTACTCAGTAGTACAGGTAGTTTTTTTTTGTCATTTTCTGCTACTTATTTGTGATCTATGGAGTTAAGATGTGGTAAACATGACATATAGGCATGATGTTTACATACTCATTTCATTTAATTATTCTACAGCTTTTTGAAGTTGGTTTCTATTGAAATAAATCACTTT